CTCTAGGCCTTTCTCTCTTTTGCAACTGACCGCATTCGTTAGATTGGATTTCCTAGACTTGTCCGACAGAGGTTTTTACCCGGCCTATACGGTACGGTTTTTCCTTTGTGCATAGCTGGAGCGGGTCCGAGGAGCCTGTTAGATAGGCATAGCGGGGTAGGAATAATAATAATATCCCTTGTTAACTGTATGGATTGGGGCCCAGGTTGCCACTGGCAGTCTTGGCAAGAGGAAGCTGCCAAAAACCTTTGGCCCCAACCTCAACCCAAACCTAAAGTTTCTGTTGGGCCTGTTCAACCAACCTGTCCATTCTCCTCCGGTTCCTTGGTCCCTTGGCTCACCGCGCCCGTTATTTCGGCTCTCGTCTTTGCAACTGCCGCCGCTACAGCTTCGGCTATCTTCGCTTCGGCAGCTTTCTCAGCCTTAATTGTAGCTTCTTCCTCGATTTTCTTCCTCAAGGCTGCCTCCTCGGAAGCCTTCTTCGCGGCGGCAGCTGCAGCGTCTTCTCTGGCTTTGATCGCCTCGGCGAGTTTAGCCCCGACCCTGGCTTGGATAATTGCCTCCTTCTCTGCCTCTGCCTCTGCCTGACGCCTCTTTCTTTCTTCCGCTGCTTTAAACTCGGCCAGGAGCTTCTCCCTTGCTTCGCGCTCGGCCCGCGCAATGGTCTCCGCGTGAGATCTTCGGCGTTCCTCTTCAGTCTTGCGCTCCGCTTCCAGTTTTTCTCTTGCAGCCCGCTCGGTCTCTGCTCTTGCTCTTTCTATCTCTTGCCGGGCCTCTTCCTGCACTCTCCGCAACTCTTCCATCCGTCTCCGCAAGGCTTCTTCTGCATCCTCGCGAACCTTCTGCTCGAGTTCCTTCCTCTCCTCTTCTTTCTTCCTTTGCTCTCTCTCCTTCTCAAAAGCATCAAGTTTGGCTTTCAGTGCCTTGACCTCCGGGTCGTCGACTGGTGGTGGGGGCGGTCCATTGAATGCTTCCCTAGGGAGTTTTGTTGATGAACGTGGAGGTGGTCCAGGTGGAGGTGTAGGACCATAGCCCCGACCATACGATGTCCGTATATGAGAGGAGTCAGATGAGACCGATTCATTGTGCACGTCTTCGTCTATCGTTACTTTCTTCTTCTTCGACCCTTGCTCGTCTCCTGTCGTTTGTACGTCGTCGTCGACCGGAGTCGTGGGAATCGGAGGGGCAACCAAACGTGGCGCGCTCGGCAGTCGGTAGTTCAGTTTTGCCAGGAAGTTTTGGGGAAGTTGATGCTTTAGGGTGTCCGCTAGGACCTCTGCATTCCGAAGTTCCTCTGCGGCACTCCCAGTTGACAGCATCAAAGCGTGTAGAATTCTGAGGTGGCACCATTGGATTAAGGGGCATGCAAAGTCGGCGCGCCAGCGTTGGAGTCTGGGATCCATATCGACTAGTTCGTCCTTCAATGCGCGACGGGATGCGTCGTCGTCGGCCGTTAAGAGATACTTTGAGAGCTTGGTCTTCAGCGTGCCCAGCTTGTCTCCCATGACAAAAAGCTGCAGGTGTTCCAGCTTGGCGAATAAACTGCTGGGCTCCCGCGAGCGGCATACCAGCTCGCGCAAGCATGACACTTGCGTGGCAAAGTCGCCCTGCTCTTCCGAAACACGGAGCACGAGTTCTAGCAGTTCGTCGCTGAGCTTCGTCCCCTGCCCCACGACTGGTGGCCACCCGGGATTTTCAGACGCTGTCGGTGCGTAACTCGGAAGCACTCCCGACCAAACTGTCCAGCCCGGCAGCTTCCTGAACGGGGGCGATACTAGTACGGTGGCCGCCGTGCTCTCCTCCTTTCCGTCTGGGCAGCTCCTACGGACCCTGACACGCTCCTCTTCAAGCAGTATCCACTCGAGATACGGTCTGCACTTGACACTTTGTTGATTTCTCTCCTTCACCGAAGCGGCAACCGCTCTCCCCCGCTGAAATAAGAAGTTCTCAAGGCGGCGCATGGGGGCCCCCTTTCTGATAAACTTCCTGCAGAAGCAGACCATGATATCGAGAAGACACAAATCGCTGGTCTCGGCGACTACAGTTCTTTCCCAATCGTTGAGAAGCTTGGATATTCCAGTCTCGAGCGAATCCTCTCCGAGAAGGCTGGCACTGGCCTGCGGAGCGCCGAAGGTTGACACGAACGAAACCATAATATCGCGGAGCTCCCAATGTCGACTATCATCCATGAGATTGCGATAGAGACCGACCCATTGGCCCCAGTCGAATCGGAAGTCGGAATTTGCAGCCCATAGGATATTCGAGTTTTTGCGAATGCAGCTGGTAAGATTCAGGTAGCGGCAGAGTACCTGAAGCTCCGTCGACGGGATACAGTCGTGACTGTTCCTGGGCGGGCGAGATTGCAAGAATTTGGAGGCCATTTCAGCAACATTCAGCGCCGTCTGCAAATTCGGGTCGCTGTAGGATCGGGCTAGTTGCAGCACCAGTACGAGGTTCACTTGGTCCGCCGCCAGTTTGGCTAGGGGCATCTCTAAACAGGATTTCCTGATGGCATCTTCATCGAACGACTCGAAGATACGGTCGAAATGGCCCTGCGCCAGGAGCATGTCGGCGTACTCGACCATGGTCGGAATCGAATCCTCGAGATGCTCCGAGAGATTGGCTCGGAAATACGCGTGAGCATCTCTGAACCTGCCCATCCGTTTCAGGGACGCAACCTCTGTGATCTTGCTCTCGATGTCATCTTCGATTTCGAGCTCGAGATGGATTGTCATGTCACGCTTTGAGGAGGGATTCAATACCGCGTCGCCCGTGTTCTGCGACACGATTTCATGGTGGGCATCTGGAGCCCGTGTACGTCGTTGCCTGGAAGCGTTGACCGGACCAAGTCGCTCCTCTGGAGGTGCGGGTGGCCGTCCGTACATCCGCCGCATGTGCATTGGACCACCGTAATATCCATCCCTGCCGTCATGATAACCGTCCAGTCCGCCAAAGTAAGCCGCCCCCGTCACGGCACCACCTGTGGGCACGGGAGCGAACGGATTCCTATAATCATAGTAAGGTACCATCTGCTGGCTGTAGCTGCTGAACATCGGCGCCCCTCGGTATTCGTATCCGCCCATATGGTTCTGGGTATGTGTTGGGTTTACAGGCAGGGTTGCTGCACTGCTTCGGTAACCCATGGGATGCGATTTGGCCTGCGAGGTCCTAGACGCTCGGCCGGCGGGGCTGGGAACATCTTCCGAGTCCGACAGGTCAACCGACATCGAGGCGGGTGTAGTGTTGCTGTTGGAAATAGGGGAAGTGCGAAAGAATAAGTGCGCCCAAGCTTTTGGCCTAGCGGCATAACGTTGAACTGTCCAACAGTTGCTCGGAACTCGAGAACCGCGTCGTACACATAAGAATTGAAGGGACAACGAAAGAAGCGAGACGGTAGTGACAGTCTTACCTAGAGATATCCGTTGTCGGGTACAAGAGCGGCGCGGAGAAGCTGAAGAGGGGAACATTAGCTACGTTATGCATGGTAAGCTGTTGTCGGCCCCCAGTCATACCGATTTCGCGCACGGCTTGCTTATTGTGCCACCCAGGTAAAACGAGCTGAACTCCAATGGAGGCCTCCGCAGGAACGAGATATTTTGCTCGGTCCAACAATGTCACGGGGTGGTCCGAATCAGAGTAAACCACCGCATCCCATGGATCACATCGACAAGAACGCAGGATGGCCACCCCTAGTGGCGCGGAAAATCGGCGCACATCACTTCCAACGGTGGGATAATGCCGATTCGGGGAGCCTGGGCTCCCGCCACGTCGGTAAAGTCTTGATTGACTGCAAGTTCCGCCTGGCAGAGTCTCAATGGGGTACGCTTGGGACATCCAATGCACCGGCCGGCGTCATCTATATCGATCTGAGCTTCAACCAGCCCAAGGGGCACAAACTGGCTTCGGCAAGCGTGCAAATCTCGCTCCAGGAATACGACACGTCAGACGCATCAGCCAAAGGCAAGAGAAAGGGCAAGGTTAGCACCGCGGTTGCCAGCGGCCTTGCCGTCACCGACCAATTTGGGCCTCAAATGCTCACAGGCAAGCCGACAACGCAATACGGCAGGTCGGCCTACAGCCTGATTCCGGAGGTCGGTGCAGTCGTCGCAAACCTCGGTGGAATCGGCTTCAGCGGCGAGAAGGAGGTTGTCTACTTGAGCCAATGGGTTGTGGAGGGTCACCAAATCTCGGCTCCTGGAGACGGCGGCATCTACAGGACTCTTGAATGGAAACTCTCAGAAAACGACTTCACTTCTCAATCTCACGCCCACAGCAGCGTCGTCCATACCGGATTGGCCCTCAAGCACGAAGCAAAGCCGTTCTACATCAAGGTGAAAATCGAGGGGAAGCTCCGAAAGCTGACGGACCGACTGACCTCCCAGTTCGTGTTCCCACCGAGAAGTCGTAAGGAACAGGGGACTGCGGTTACACTCTTGCAACTGAGTTCCAAGCACCGACATGGGGTGCCGCTGGACTCGCTGGCCCGGGGATTGAAGGATGCGATGGTGCAGAGGAATCTGCACGCTGTGCCCCGCGAGTTGCCGGATTCCATGCCAGCGATTTCGTCCGAGGATTTCACGACGCCAACGACCCCAGGCTCAACCGGCAGGTCAGCAAAAATGGATCCGCCGGCACCACCCCCGGCGTATAGCTCGACTCAGAAACCTGGGGATGTTGAGAGGCTGTCCATGGCTTTGCTGACGTTCGCGGACGAGCCTGAGGAAGGCACTGTTGGAAGTTTTGGTAATAACTACTTCCCGGTTTCTGGGCTGTCGAAGGATGTATCGAAGCCCCAACCCGTACCAAACAAGGTACCCGAGACGGTCGTCGAGGACAGGGCGCGGCAGCTCTCGGCTTATCCCATTGTTGGAGCGCTACTCCATGTCCTCGGCCGACTGTTGGACCTGGTTGAAGGGGTTAAGGGTGGGAGAAAGCATAATATGTAACGCGAAATCGCGTCAGAGGCTGCATATTCACGAGCTGTTCGCCCGAAAGAGAAATATTGGACCGCCTACCATGAAGGGCTAAAGCAGGAGCTCGATGGTGTACCCGTCTACCAAGAACGACATGGCATCTCATAGATCTGTTTCCGCGCAACAGGTATGAAGTCATGCACAAATCGATTCGTGGGATTAGAGTTGTGTTGACACTGGACAATTCCCAGCTCCAATCCACCAAACCCAACATCAATCCATAATGATTACCCCTCACAAAAACGCCTCAAAGCTCGACAGTCACCGAATACTCAGTGAACATGCCGGGCGGGTTGCGGTGCCCCACGACCTCACCCGCAGCTTTCTCGACCTCAGCCCTAATCTCCTGAACCTCCTCCTTGGACAGCTGTACCTTAACGGACCCAACATTCTCCTCCAAGTACTTGACCTTCTTGGTACCAGGGATGGGAATAATATCCTCCCCCTGCGCCGACAGCCACGCGAGCGCCAGCTGGCCCGGGGTGCAGCCCTTCTTGTCGGCGAAGGCCTTGAAGCGGTCGACCAGGACCAGGTTCTTGGCAAAGTTGTCCGGGTTGAAGCGCGGCACGACGCGGCGGAAGTCGTCGGGGGCAAAGTCGTCGGTCGTCTTGAGCTGGCCCGTCAGGAACCCGCGGCCTAGTGGCGCGTATGCGAAGATGGTGATACCCAGCTCGCGGCAGGTGGCGAGCAGGTTCGTGCCCGTCTCGTTCTCAATGTCCAGCTGGAACGGGTTGTACTCGACCTGCACGGCGTCGACGGGCGCCACGGTGTAGGCACGGCGGATGCTGCTGGAGGCGCATTCGCAGATGCCGATGGCTTTGATTTTGCCATCCCTGATATAAAGGCATTAAATTAGTATGAGCGTAGAAAGTAACTCTATAGGTGGGACAACTTGAAGAGAGCCCTAGCTTGACTTACTTCTTCGCCTTGACCAGTAGCTCCATCGTCTTCTCGACAGGTACCTGAGGGTCGAGACGGTGGACATAGAGGAGGTCAATGTAATCGATCCCCATCTTCCGCAGACTGCCTTCAAGACACTCGCTGAAGAATTCGGGGCTGTTGTCGGCGCGGATGTCCCACTCGCCCTTGTCGTTGACGGCGAATTTGATGCCGAACTTGGTGGCCAGGAAGATGTCGGCGCGGCGCTCGGGGTGCAGCTTGAACCACTTTCCGATCAGGACCTCGCTGTCGCCGTAGCTGCTGGCCGTGTCCCAGTTCGTGTAGCCGAGCTCCCAGGCGCAGTCCAGAAGCGCCAGACGCTCTTCGTCAGTACTGAGGGAGTGTCAGAACAGAGCAGTGTCCGGTGTCCCCAAGACAGGATACACAGGGCAGGGAAGGTGGAACAGCTGACCCGACCGGTCCGTAGGCAGTGCTCAGGCCCATCATCCCGAAGCCGAGGGCGGGTATCTGTCGTCCCGTCTTGCCGAGGGGCTTGGTGGGGAGGGATACTGGGGGTGCCATAGTGGCCAGGGGAGGTTATGGGCGAGAGAGGTCGGGGACTGGATGCTGTGCTAGTCACCTAAGGAGGTAGGTAAGGAGAGACCAGTAGGTTAAAAAATAGTCTGAAAGACGGGAACGGAGTTGATTTATAGCCCTTCTTGATCTTCCCCATGTCCGGGAGCTGCCAGTGGTTACTGGGTGTAACGATTGTGCTTTTCGATCCTCGTCAAAATTTCGAGATAGGGCTCTTGGCTCGCATGAACTGTGAAGGTTGTGATGAGATGACAAATGCACAAGGCACAACCAACTGCATATGTGCCTTATCCTGGGATTCACCTGCATAACGCTGTTACCGGGGAATGCATGTTAACTCCGAGTTTGGCTATCTTCCATTGTTTGTGCCCAGTGCCTCTACTTGCAGCACACACTAATCGATCTTCTATTGACGCCGGAAGCATAGATCTTCCATGGTTCTATCGCAACGAGCACAAATACTCCGAGTCCAGTCACAGCCTGCCACAGAAACTGCCCGCTCAAGCGAACTGCAGCGACCCAACCTGAACCACAGGTCTCTCCCTCGCCCCCTGTTCTCCAAACTTCTCACCAACCTCTCGCCCATTCACATTCCCAACGCCCTCATCAACACCAACATCATGACGACGCTCTACCGGCGCGAGCTCAGGATACATGTGCAGCTTGTACCGACGAGCCGTGACATGGAAGTAGATGTAGCCGATGAAGAAGTCATTCCATTTGCGGGCATAGACGGGGTCGAATCTTGTGCGTAGAAGCCCGGCCACGCGCGAGTTTGCCGCGACGATCTCGGCCACGAGGGTCTCCAGCAAAGCAAGAGGCTCGCGCTGCTCGCAGACAGCCCGCGTGTTGATGTATTTGTCCGTTTCGCCGGCTAGCGTCTCCTTGTGGAACCTATGACGGAATCACGATGTTTCAGGTGTGTGTTAGCCAAGTACCTCTTGTCAAGTGAGCTGCATCGAGGCTGGGGCACTGGAAGGACAAGGGCAGTAAGGCTCTGGCACGCAAACAAACATACGACAGCACATCATTTGCATAGTTGATGTATTTCATCATATCCGGTACCGCCTGCATATACGCGCCGATATCCGGGCACTGATCCCGCGGGAAGACGAAGTAGGCGTATGCCTCGGGCACTCCGCTCCTGTCGCGACATAGTCGGGCCACGCGCCCGCCTCTCTGCAGTGCCCCAGGCGGCGGAACTCGCCGCGCCTCTCCAGCAGGGTGGCGTTGACAAACTGCAGCGACGAAAGCACGATGAAGTTGGCCGCGAGGGGGTCAAAGTACTTGGGCATGTCATGGAGCGTCTCGGCCCAGCGTGCCAGGAGAGCGGAGGGCTGCGGCTCCCAGTTCTGGAAGCGCGTCTGGAACCCGGCGAGGTCGTCGGTTCCGGCCTCGTCGTCGTCGATGTAGATGATCAGCCAGGAGTAGATGGCTATGTGGAGTTTTACGGCGAAGGGGTGCGTGGGGAAGTAGGCCTGGGTGAGTCGGTGACACGGGTAAGTTGGTCCTGGGCAGAGAACACTGAAGCCCCTGAAACTGAAAGGAGGAACAAGACGTACACAAGCGAGTGTAATGCCCTCATCAAAGTACCGCCGAGCATATTCGGACTCGTACGGAGCCCCTGAGCCGGCGGCGTATTCGAGCATGGCAGCTTCAAGGGCAGGCCGTGTGACATCATGCCGAGGAGTCTGGTAGTTGAGGTCGCGGACGAGTTTGGCGAGAATGGCGCCCAGTTTGGGGTTCGCCGGGGCGGAAGCACCGTTCTTGGTGGGATACGCCATTTTTGTGGAAATAGCAGGTTAATTGCAACTTCTCTGAGGATGATCTGAGGAAGAGAGAGATGGCCAAAAGGCTCTGGAAGGCAAGCCTAGGTACCTACCTATATAGGCTTGCCAGGCTGGTGGTGTTGCGTGCCCTACTGCCCAAGGCACCTCTGACAGCCACACGCCCCTACTCAGGCCTGTACGTTGGCCCTGGAATTTGCCCTCCTTTTCTTCCTTTCTTCAGTAGCACCGACAATTCCACTACGTTCAACCTCCCTACCTTCCTCCGGTCACTTCGACAGGTGGTGCGGGTGTTTGCCCTGTCAAAGAGGACAAAGGAGCTCTAAGGACGGCCTGGACGGGAGCAGCCGCTGCATGTGGACGGGAGCTCTAGAAAGCTCAAAGAGCGCCACCAACATTCCAACCGTTCTTGATCCTTGAACTTGGACTATACATAGTCTTGAGAAATGCTGATCACGTCACTAGAGCTTGTGAAGGCACGAGAGCTTCTTGGAGCGCACCCCAGCCCTCGAGTTAAGCCCACTTCGCATTAGCGGCGATTCCAATAGCTAAGAGATAATCGACAACGTTGCTCGTGGCTTTTAGGCGGGACACGTGGAATGCATGTGATGAGCAAGTCCAGAGGAGATCCGCGTTCGACCCGCGTCTCTGGGTCTACAGTGTGTCCGGCTCTTCTAAGGTGCTCGACGACGAACAACGACGCTCTTCGCCACCAAAGTCCGGCCCGCCAACTACAAGCCGGCAAACCACAACTCCCTCTCCTCGCCATTGGCTCTGTAAGTGACAACCAGGGGAAGAACTGGGAATAAACTGAATGGAGTGGGATATACTGCATTGAATTATGAAGCATATCCGAATTAAGATCCCTAACCCAGCTTTAGCACCCGTATAATGTTTGAAGTTGTCAAGGCAGTCGGTTTCGTTTAGGGTGGAGTCCCTCCCGTTGCCCGGCAACGGCGCATGTCGCAAGCCCCTGAGTCTCGGGCCTACCCATACACAATGGTAACATCGCCTGGACCCATCTTGCTCAAATTCGTTGCTGAACAATGTCATATACCTGCAAGACGAAGTACAGCATCTAGAGATGGAGGTGGGTGCAGTATGACAGGGGAGACGACGCTGCATGTTGTCGTGCTGCGCAGATTCGGATCGGCCCGAGGTCGTGGATTTTCTGCCCCTGATGTAGATGTGGCGCGGGTATTTCCCTAGCTCCGGTTCTCTGCCCGGGATTCAAGGCGGGGATGGGCTGGCTCTTGGGAGCTGGTGAAACTTGGTGGGGGTCGGCCTGCGTGGGTATATTGGAGGTTGCGGTGGGCGCGGGGTACGAAGTAGCCGCTACCAGACCCTGCATCTAGCTTATGGAAGCTTTACCTTTGCATCTCGCTTCGGCTTTCCGGGGGCAGCGGCGCGGATATGACTTAGAAGGATAGGTTAGGGGGGAACCATTTCACTAGGCGGCAGGGTCGGGAAGCGCCGACGTTGTGGGGGCATGGTGGGAGCTTCGAAGCCGGCATCAACGTGCAGATGATGGATTACAATGGGGTGTCCTCCTTGTCTTAGTACTGGCTGCCATGAAGGAGGGGAGGGGTAGCATGGCCATTACTTGGTCGGCAGAATCCTGATTTCAGGGGGACCAGCCGTGGGGGTGACGCGTCGGGCAAAACAAGCTCCATGTCAATGGATAGGCTAGTCCTAGAGGGGTTGGACTGTGGGGTGAAGTCAGGCCCTCGAAAGCATCATGGGATTGGTGATCGAGGGATTAGGAACAGGGAGATCATGATTCTAGGATACGCAAACTGCGACCGAGAATGAAGTTCACACGGAAGAAGATTGCCTGCTCTTCTCATCTACCATATAAGATCTATTCAGCCGAGCCCGATTCTCCGGCTACTCTATGTGATGTATCAGTCCGAAGGTACACTACATGTATACACGTACAGGCGCATACACTGGTAGTGATAGAGGGTGAATTTTCCCATCTAGTCAAGCTAGCCATGGTTCAATCTTCCCCTTGAAGAAACTCTGGGGTCAAGCCGGTAGTATTCGTGTGAGCAAAGTCAGGTTTAAACTTGAAGAATAGTATAAGACGACAACCGACAGTGTCTGGTGTCTAAGTATCAATGGCTATCGTTAATCCCCTGTGTGTTTTCAAGTTGTGTGTTTCATCATACTCCCATTCACGCATAGATATATCATAGGCAAGGAAGCGTAACGTCGAGTCAACAATTTCATCCACGTCAATTGAGTTAATGCTACTCTAAGTATATACTAGTGGTTTAGTAGTATTATGCTATCGAATCTGGACCTCCCAACCTTGATGCAGAACCTTAGTCCCTTACGAATGGGTGGGCCCAACATGCTCACCGATGATCTAAACGAATGCCCAAATCCCTCTGTTGCAGGAGGCTTTCCACACTAGCGCAGATCAACACATAGAGGATGCTACATGATAACCTCATCGTTAACATCAACGAACGTCAAGTCTCGGCCAGTCGGTTGGCCAATCTGTAGAAAGACCAACTTGAAGCTTGAGCGAGCAAGATGACGACGATACTCCTCGCAACCGGCTTGGTTGTGGCCTCGTGGGCACAGGCCTGACCATACGCTCAGTGCTGAGTTATGAGAGCTTTCTCAGTGCGCTTCAATATCCCTGATTCGCAATATCACCCAAGAATAGCGGCCAGTCAACGAGAGACGCCAGGGTTAGCGGTGGGAACCGAAGAGCGAGCGGCTGTAACGTTGGAGCAAAACAGGTTTGCCAATATTCCATGCAGTTGACGGAACTCGGCACCCGCCGGACCACTCATTGCACATCGTCGCAGTCGTCTGGATGCGCCGACAGGTTTTCATGTGGTGCAGGCGTTCCACACTCCTGGCAAAGGAGCCCTGGGATGACATAAACAGTCTTCCCGTCTTCAAGACATTTAGGGCAGCGGACACCTGGGAGCTAAGTCATATGTCAGCATCCTCGACATCCCCAACATAACCGCAGTCGTAAGGATAACTCACACCAGGAAGGATCCTGATACCTTCCCCTGATTCAGGGAAGATGAATGGATCACACGGGAAGATGAACGGTCCAAGGCCGAAGCCACTGTTCACTGGAAGCTTTGCAAAGATGATCCGCATTATGGCTTTGGGTTCAGGGACTGAAGGTAGCGAGACTGAAGAGATGCGTCTGAGAGCAGAGTCGTGTCAGGAGGAAGTTGAGGGCTCCGAGGGACAGAACCCGGAGCAACTTTCAAGGGCTCCCATGAGGTGTTCACGAGTCTGTTATATACTTGAGCAGCACCGATGTTGCTGGCGGCCGCCAGGAAGCAAGGCCATCGTGAGCCGGGGAGGGAGATCAAGAGTAGCAGTTAACAACGCATCAGACAAGAACCCGGAATACAATGCCGACTGAATGGAGTCATCGTGATCAGGTCCCATATAGTCGTTCCGCCACTTTGCCAAATGGCCAGTCGGCCACTGGGGCCTGAGACCACCCTAGGACTCACAGGTAACCAGGACAAGGGCATGGAGGTGAGAGATTTTGCGGAACAGGCGCGTCTACACTACACTGGCTGCAACTGCCAGGGCTTGCGCGGTTCGGCAGCAGTTGCTGTTGACCGGGGACGATGTGACTAACCAAGTAAAAGGGAAAAAGCCCACGTGTCGAGCGTGAAATGCCGTCTTGTATGAGCTGATATTGTCAACAAGTCACTGCCAAGACCCAGCATCAAGCATCAACCGAGTCATCCGGAGACCGGAGCTCTCACCGGTCCCTCAATACAGCTACGCTCGACGCTCAAACATGGTGGGGGTTACAGTGAACATCCAAGGCGAGCTTGCCACTCTTGTTCGGTTTCCCTGTTAAAGTCAGGCCCATGCCGTCCAGCCCGCATGCTTCTGCAGTCTCTCGTCTTTGGATGCTCCCCTGACAAACACCTGAGATATGCATCTGCGGCCTCTGAACCCCACCCTGTTGACCTGTTCCCCCGCAGTGAACAGCGCATTTCAGGCTGCTGTTGGAGAACACACCGGATACCGAGTTGTCATGCACGAAATGCAATCCTCATGTATGCCTAACACTGCGCTCTCTTCTGCAGTCTTGAGAACCCAAGTGGGCATGATACGCCCCCTTTTCTCCCAAACCCGCTTTCTCTCGCTGCCCAATGGTCTTGGGCAACCCCCTCGAATCTTAGTCTTCCTCTTCCGCTTCCTATCGATAATGACCCGGAGTCACGGCACCGAGAGTATTCCATGCCATAGTCAAATGATACCATCCGCTCTTTTTTCCCCTGCGGCAGCACTGCCTAAGCGGACTTTCACGGGATTCATGGTAGCCGTTAGGCGCCAGACCTCGGCTGTTGGGCACACAACGCTCATGGTGTTGGGAGATCCATCTCATGGGTGAACATCTGGCGCGCAGGGCGCAAACATGCGGCAGTTGCAGCATTTCCTACTTGGATTTCAATTCCCTCTCCATTCAAGCTTTGAAGTTCTTACTGGTAATAACTTCTTATGGTTACATGTGAAAGAGCTACCCAGTCTCAAGTCAAAACTAAGACCAAAATGCCGTGGATTAAAATTCGAAGACACCAAACTCCAAGAAAAGGGGTGACGACTAACTCACCGGTCATAACAGATGGCTGCGCAGATACGAAAGTAACCTTGACCAGAGTATTCCATCTTCCCATTATCTCCCTTGATTTCAACTTTTGACACTGCCCACTCTTCCCCCTTAACCCCGCGTGTTTATCGAATATGTCGGAGTAAACCCTCTCATCACTGACAAAAACCTGGGTCGTTGAGAACATGAACCTGGACCCTGCGTGACTTCAAGTTGGTGTCTGATGAAACCAAACTCCAAGTCGCCTGACCACTGCCAGTGGCTCTACTTCGGGTATCCCGTGGCTACTCAACTACAGTTTGTCCAGTCGGTCTGCCGCGCTCCGCATCTCTTTATCATCCGCATCTCCTTATCCCCCGCTTTTGTGCTACACTCTTCGGATCTAGCCAGTAGCCGCAGTTACAGCACATTTACATTGCCTTTGCTTCGGGAAAAGGAGGTCCGAGAATTCAACCTTGTTCCCAGTGACTGCTCGCTCATTCGCCCCATCAGAAGTATGATCACTGGGAAAGGTATGTATTTCGTAGGTTAGTATGATTGGGCTTCACCCTTATCCTACATGTACTGTACATAGTACATACATGTATATGGCACTTGCATGAGTACAATGGACCGCTAGGCCTGACCTGTCTGTAATCCGTATTGGTTAAGCTTCTCCAATGGCGTCATTATACATTCTCACCGCCAGATCTCACCGGCAATTTAAGGTACCCGACTTCCGATGGCCCGGAGCTCTCCGCGTTTCGGCGGAGATACTAGATAGAGTGCTGATGGCATGACGCTGCTCCGCCTCCCGACGGGAGTCACAGTTGCAGAGGGAACAAGTCTGCAGCAGCATGTTGCTTGCGTATGCGGGCAGATGGCATTACGCGACATAGTTGGCAGATTCACGTGCCTTCTGCCCAACATGTTCGGCTCTTGGGGCTGTGTTTGATGCCATCAGCAAGTGGCCATGCCCACCTCCCTCGCGAGATACGATAGGCAGCCCTAAGTTTTCATATTATTAGCGAGGATCAAGTTCATCATGGATATTCCTCAATGGCGACCTCACTTTCTTAAAGTACTGGCTCAAGGAGGTACTAGTACCGTGTCATCATGCATCATGTTGACGACAAGGACTTAGGGGCATGACCTGGGATGAACCGAGCCAGGACGCCATGGAAATGCAACGTTGCCAACACATGCCATAAGTTACCAGCCCTTCCTTAACTTCATATCTCACTGGAACCTCAGTTCCATGTTTAGCAAGATTGATGCATGCGCATGCCGACGGCAGAAGCGACACTCTGATAATGCAAGATAGCCGTCCCATCCAGCACACTGCCTCACCCACCTACATGTAGCTGCATACCTATCTGACCCGAGACAGTGGACTGTGTGGTTTCAGTCCAGCAACATGAAGCTGCAGCTGCGACCAACATGGAGGCATCAGCAGATAGCAGCGTGCCGTCGTCTCGCCGAGGGGACTAACCGGATGCTTAAGTCAACGTGTCAGTAATTGTGGGCTTGATTGTTGCAACCAGAGAGCCAGTACTTGAGCTCCTTGACCGTGAGCTGTACTAGTATCGAGGCCGGTGAGGATGTATACGGCTTTGCTATCCTACGGTGGGCCATGTTCTGAGCTCGGTTTTACACATGCATGCATCCACTGTTGATTGGAGCGTATATAACAAACTTCATGAGGGTTATCGCCTCGTATTTCCTGAGGGTATCTTCAGTTTATGCGACCAGACATGATCGACATGTCCCAATATCCACGGTCACTCTCCCCTAAACCTTCCATCTCGGACCATCTGTAGGGTCGGGTATCGCTGAAAATGACATCAAACCCCCTGACTCCATGTCCAAAATCATCCTGATACCCCCAGCACGCCTAAACGCCGCTGCCCGCCTCCAGTAGTAGGTAGGCACTCACAGACCCCAGCCTTACTCCTCGTCCAAATCCATCCCACCCGTAGAAACAACCTCCCTCAAAGCCCTCATCTCCCCACTCGCCAACACCTCCCTTGGCCCAAACCTCTCCTTCGGATCCGTAACCAACATCAACCCCATCACCCCCCTTAACTCCCTCACCATGCCCAACCTCCCCATCTCCTCCTCCAAACACCCAATCCTCTTCAACGGCGCTGGTAATTCCTCCAAATGGTCCTCACTCAACGCCCACTCCGCTTTCCGCCTTACATCACCCGCCACCGGCCTGTCCCGCCAGGCAGGGAACAGCCGCCGCAATTTGGCAAGACACCACGGGGTTGGAAGCACGTCGATACAGCTGCCCCTGAGCCCGTCCCCGTCGTCGGAGGAGGATCCGAGTAGGGAAGGTTTGAGCCAGAAGAGCAGGCTGGCTGCGCAGGACCAGACTTGGGATTTTGTTGTGCATGGGAAGCCAAGAAAGACCTCGGGTGCGCGCATCGGCAGGGGTTGGACGTTGGTTCGTGGGTGGGTGCAGGGTAGGACTGTTGGGGAAGGGGGGGTTAGTTTGGGCTGGAGAGGAGAGGAATGCGTGGCGAGATGGGCTGGGCTTACCGAGGCCGAGGTCGCCTATTTTGACGGTGGGATGGTCTGTGTCGATGTTGGATAGCAGGAAGTTGCCGGGCTTGGTGTCTGCATGGGTTTGTTAGAGGTCTGAAGGGTGTGCTGGCTGCAGTGAGGAATGCGGAAAAGGGGTAAGTAAATAGTGGGGGAGCAGGGGCGTACCAGTGTCAACAACCTTGGCCTCGCTAAAACAGAGTATGCTCTCCATAACCGCTTCGATGATAGCCACGATCAGCTTGTACGCGCGTTTGTCGAGTTTAGGCGTCAGGTCTTGCAAGGTCATGTCCATCCACTCAAGTGCTAGACAAGGCCTGGTCTCGCCGGTCTTATCGTCGAAGTCCTCTGGGTTGCCGATCAGATCGTACAGTTTGCGGATGTACGGACTGTTTGCGATGCTGGGGTGCTGATATGCTTCCCATTCGCGTTTGAGGTCGAGTCTGGTGAAATCTCGTTGCGCCCTGAGCGGCGAGGGACACTTGATGACGGCCCTGCGGACAATCAGGATTTCGCCTGCATATGTTATATAGGTACGTATCAAGAGAACTCACCACTCGGGCATGTCTTGTTCATTTACCGATGTCGTACTACCGGGTGATACCCTGGCCTTGTAGACCAAGGCTGCGTGCGATCCATCACCCGTCAGGGGCTCTGTGATACAGTAGCCCCACCGAGCTCCAGAAAGAACTTGACCGATGGTGAGGGACATGGTGGGAGTATATGATGACCGACAAGGCTATCGTGGCCGTAAAGAAGATTTGGAGTACTTGTGTAAGTTGTGCTGAGTCGTACAGCGCGGACAGTGGAGAGTACACGGCTGGGAGCGGTAACACCCGGATCGAGAGACGGTGGCGTCCTTTGGTGGCGTTTGAGCAGGCCGCTATCGCGCCTGAACTGGTCCGCGGCGAAGTTGAGAGGCGATGCCTCAAAAGCAAGAGGCCTTGTGCGTAGGGATCAATGGTGAGAACCTGGAAGGGTTTCCAGTTGTTTGATGGAAAATGATGGAGGGAGGAAGACATGCTCTGTTTTTATACTCCAAGAGAAGAGGCTGTTGTTTACCCATACGCGTAGAAAGCGTAAAAGATTAAACGGACCGGCATGTTACGATTTGTATCAAATCTAGGTAGTTTGAAACTACCGCTGAGGTCTAAGTCCGACTCTCAGAAATCATAGCGTTCTTCTTCAACCGTGAATTGAGACTGAGCGGTTCAACCGCGGAGAGAGACGGTGCTGATGTTAGTGTGGCTCGGACCTCTGGTTGATATGGCCCGTGGCTGGCAGATTTCTTCTTCCCTTTCTCAAATGCACTCGATGCAGATATTGGCTCCTGGTGTAAACGCCAGATAAGACTGAGGTATCCTACTTACTATTGATCACCCACTATCTCTGCTTAGGAAGAGGCCCCGAAAGTTCAAGGACGGAGATATGAGGCATCAAAGCAGCAAACCTGTCCTCGATCAACAGGCACTGAAATGCCACAGTTCAGTCCATGCCTATGTGTTGGCCAGCTGTAAAACACACTATCAACTCCAATCTACTTCTAGATCGCTTCATGTTGCTTCAGCATTGACCAGCATCCCTCAACCCGCCTATCTCATTGCCCAGCCTCTTCACGTCCTTCGCCATACGCATCGTACAACCGAGTACAAGTCACACTACTGGCATCTATCTCTTGAAACTTAGAGTTCCCCTACTATTGACTACTAAAAGCCAACAAAACAGGCACAAGATCACTGCATTGGCAAAGATGCCACCTTTGCTCACGGAAAACTGTTGTTGCTGTTGTCATGGTGTGTCAAATACCGTCTCATCCTAGCCACAAGCCAGGTTTTATGAAGACAACAGTCTCTCCATAGCCCGTGCCAACCATCCGTGGCAAGATCCAATACTGTCAATACATTACAGTGGCGGCATGGACTGAAAGTCCCTATCCTCAATAGCTCTAGTAATGTTGATTATCTCTACCAGTATTAGGATCGGGAAGTCAGGTAGGTGCCACCTAAGCATCTTCATTAAGATAGGTACCTACTTTGACGCATTGGAATACAACTACTTAGTACTAATAAGATTCAACTTATGATATTAAGTAGTAGGAAGTTGACAATGCTGTCTTTGTGTATCTCAGCTACCGGGTCTTTCGCAGAGACTTCAGTTCATTTACAGGACGTCCAGCCTCACAATGTGGCTCTGCTGTGAGTCTTCTCGTCAGTCATGGGGCTGGAGGGCCTGCCTTACGTTTATACTTTATACCAACCTAATCGCGGCTTCGAATTGCGCCGTGATTACCTACATGGATGTATGTAGCAGACATGGTAGGACGAATGCGGCTTAGCACGGGAGAGATGCATGCGGGGATTGGAGGTTTAAAGCTCAGACTGTCGTCAAGCTCTCCAACCTGAACTTCTCCTTAAGAACCGATCTACAACAAAAACCCTCTGTCTCCTTTAAGCCCACCTCCACCGCACCATGGCCAAACCCTACGCCATAGTTGCCGACGACGAAACCTCCTTCGTAGTCGAGCAACCCTCCACCTCCAGCGCCCCATCCTACACATACACCGCTCTCCCCCCCGGCAACCACTTCCGCCTCCTAACCGTCCTCCCAGGCGCCCCCAACACCAAGCTCAAATGCACCCTCACAATCCACGCCCTCGACAGCCCAGATACACCGCCGTACAAAGCCCTCTCCTACTGCTGGAACAACCCCAAATTCGACAGCCTGGTCATCAACAACAAGCCCATCCCTCACGACGACCCGCTCCGCACCGACTACACCGTCTGCCATGCACTATGGTGCGTTGGGGACAGTGACACTGGGGAGAGTCAAAGGCGGATCCTGATCTCGACTAGTCTCCGTGACGCACTGAGGAAGCTGCGCAGCAGGACTGAGCCTGTTAGGTTGTGGGTTGATGCGCTGTGTATTAACCAGGGGGATAATGCCGAGAAGGGGGTGCAGTTGCTGCTGATGCAGAGGATTTATCATGCTGCGGCGGAGGTTTGTATGTGGCTAGGAGCGGGGGATGCCGATGGGGCGGCGTGTAATGCGCTGGAGATGCTGCGTATGCTGGATAAAGTCGGAAAGGCTAAACCCAGGCCAGAGGTGTCTCAGGGGGATATCTATAACCAGCAGGTGCTGGTGGATCTCGGCTTCCCCCCCTTCCCGTCGCGTTCATGGTCAGATCTGATGCATTTCTTTCGCCGGCCGTACTTCCGGCGGATCTGGATCCTGCAGGAGATGATTGCCGCCAGTCTTTCATCCAGACTCTACTGCGGCGAGCTGGAGCCCGTGCCGTGGACCACCCTGGTGGGGGCTGTTGCCTTTCTGCAGAGGGCTGACTGGATCCCGAGGCTCAGCGCGCAGTACGACCCGGAGAATAACATCTCGTTTGTGTTGACAACTGTTAGTATCGGCATCGCTTGGGCGCAGGGGGCGGAGACGGAGCAGGACCGGCACCAGATTCGTCGCAGGACACTGAATACAAGGCGGTTTGAGGCGTCTGATCCGAAGGACAAAATCTTTGCTCTTATAGGGATCATCAACGATTTTGGCCACCGGGATTTGCTGGGTGAGGATAGTCCGGAGGGTTCAGGCTACGGTCCGCCGCAGACGGTCATCAAGAGCGGCACGGTGCACGCCACGTTCAAGGTCGATGAGCGTGGGAAGTCAAAGGAGGATATTGCTATCGAGATTTTGAAGAGCAACCCTGCTGAAGAGATCCAGCAGCTTCACGCGGCACTGCTGGACGTGCTTCGCGGCTGCGTGCGCATGGCCGACATCCTCTTGCACCCCGATGAGGATTACACCTCGCCGGAGTTTCTGGCGGACTACGCCCAAACCACGCAGCACACTATTGACGGGCTGACGTACATCCCCACGTTCAACAAGGACTGCAGGAGGTTAAGTCTGGACCATCAGCGGGTTGGGGACTTTGCGTCAAACCTTCTGAAGATGTTTTCCAGCAGCATCCAGCTATACGCGGGCTTCATAGGCGAATACTGCGAGGATGAGCTCTTCGCACGGTTGTGCCGCGTTCCGGTATTTCTGGAGGAGGTGCTGCGCTTCCAAAAGGGCGCTTCGTTCATGCTGGAGTCTATGGAACATGCTTGCACATGTACTAGTAACTCGGCTACCCCTGATCCAAACAGTGACCCCCCCGCAGGCAGCAGCAACAACGCTCGCGTGCAGGACAATATGCCGATTCTCATAGGCTCCAGAGCCCATCTCGACAGCCTGGAATACAGCGTCAAATTCTCCCGGCAGTACCAGGACTGGGCGTGGAGCGCCTGCGGCTGGATCATGCCCATGTACGACCTGCCCGTCGAGGACGTCTACACCGAGTACACAGCCAAGTGCATCCAGGACGACGGGGACCTTGACATTCTCAGTGCCATCGAGGACCGCTCCGCTCGTAGACTCCACGGCCTGCCCTCGTGGGTGCCTGATTTCAGCGTGCCCATGGTCCGATGGCCGCTCGCCGCAACCGGGATAATTGATAGGGCCGAGGGGTGCTGCTACTCGGCGTCTGGCCGCAGCTCCAAGGCTCGGCCGAAATGGAGCAAGCAGCAGGCTGGTGGGCGGGAGATCGTCCTGGGCGGGTTTGAGTTTGACCGGATTGCGGCGATATCGAGCAGGGAGGAGGCGGCTGATCGGAAGATGGGCGGGGGGCGGAAGCTAAGGGAGTGGGAGGCTATGATTGATCAGCTGCCCGAGGATCATGCTTATCACGGGGAATGTTCTGCTTCGGAGGCGCTCTGGAGGACACTGATCGGGGACAGGGACGCTCAAGGTCGTAGCCCGGCTCCGGGGGAGTACGAGGCGCGGTATGAGACGTTTCGGAAATTGGTACGCCTGGACGAGGAAATAGGCGCGAGACTTGAGTCTGGACAGGACCCCGACGCGGCTCGTACTGCGGTCTTGGGGGAGTATAACATCCAGCCTGATGAGCTACCCCGACTGTCAGCCGAGCATGGGATGTTCCTGAGGAGTGTGACCGAGGTTATGCTGGACAGGAGGCTGTTTGTGACTGAGGAGGGCTACATCGGTGCCGGGCCCTTGTCGGCAGAAGTGGGAGATTCCGTCTATGTCCTTGCTGGTGGTCATGTTCCTCTGGTCTTGCGGAGGCGAGTGGAGGGTGATGGTGATGAGTCGTTTCAGTTTGCGGTTGTTGGTGACTGCTACGTGCATGGGATTATGCAGGGAGAGGCTCTGGGAGAGGCTTTGGAATCGGAGGTTTTCTGTTGGACGGACATTCGGTTGCGGTGATAGGCTGATAGGTTCGCGGGTGTGGTTACTGATGTTCAAGAAAGATACCTATACTTGAGAGCACTTGTCAAGCGGTGTTGGCTTAACCGATGGTAATCAGGTGCTGATTGTCACATCGAGCACTCAGGGGTAACTTCTTGGAGTGCAGCAGCGTGGAATATTTCGGGCGCTCGTCGAAATACACGCAAGCTCCATGTCTAACTCTACACGCTACTACTAGTAGTACATGAAGCTGTCAACACCCCCGTGGTACCACAGCGACTGCAGATGGCTAGCCTACTTCCTGTGAGCTGGACCATAATCGGCCTGATGCCCCCCAGGAAGCTCATCCAACCCTAGAAATAGCCATCATGCGGTCAGTAAAGCTGGCAATCAGAGGGTAGTTGAGGTAAACACAACCCGCCATTGGATCAAGGCGACTTACACCCATCAACATCCTCATCCACCACCCTCCCCTTACTACACTTATTCATACTCTCAATACTCTGCACCCTCGACCCAGACTCACTCACACAGTTCGCAGGCTTATCAAACCAGCACGGCGTATCCAAAATCCTCTGCAGCGCATCCCCCTTCCACCCAAACACATAATCCCCATGGGCGCCATACCCCGTGGCATCCCCAAACGACCACACAAACGGACTGCTCCCGTCGGCAGGCCATTCCAGGTCATTAAACGGCCTGGTATCCCAGACAACCTCGTACATGACCTGTCCCGTGCGGACCGGGTGGCTGGCTGGACACGGCCCGCCGCTCTCAAAGGTCCCTGTCTCTGGGTAGCTCATGTGCGACATGTGGTCGGGGCTGTCAAGGTTCTTGCCGTCCCAGCAGGTCGGGAAGCGAGTTGAGGTCATGATCCCTTCTTTGCATTTCCGCGTTGGGAAGGCCATGGTTTCTGGGGAGCGGGTCACCCATGTGTCCATGCACACGTAGGTCAGCTGGCGGAAGCGGGCGGCGGAGGGGAGTGTGCGGGCGGAGATGTCGCCGATGAACATGCGGAAGCCCTGGTGTGGTTACATGTATGGTTATGGTTATTATCAGATCTAGGGTGAATTGTGGGCAATCACATACCGGCTGGAACGCCTTGACCTTTGATCGCTGCCCATGGTCGTAAATGGCGTCTTGCATGTAGTAGATGGTGAGGCCGCCGTTGGCCTTTTCGAACTGGTTGTTTCCTCGCTGGGGCACGCGCTTGTAGCTGCCGTTCTGTGCCCGGAAATACAGCACCGCAGTCCAGTAGTTGGAAAAGTCTTCACTGAACTGACAAGTGGTGCAGGTCGATTCGTTTGGCAGGTCCTTTGCCGGGTCCATCGTGGCGTTGAAGGCGTCCTATCGTCAAGACACCATCAGTTCCTAACCCTCAGCTTCAGCTCAGCTATGACACAGATATTGGGCATTGCACAAACACCGCCGACGATTTGATGAACATGGCTTGAGGGCACCAAGCCAGGATTGACCAGCGGATCGAGTCTCTCGACTACGAGCTGAGAGCAATGGAAGCGAACTACCGCGCCACCCGGGCGGGCGAGGATGAGACTGAGGAGTATAGACCGCCGCATTATTGAGATGACTGAGGCCATCATGACTAGGGATGCCAGGGGTCTGGAGAACGTCGAGCGCTTCAATGACACCCGAATCTGAACAACTCGAATAGCAGGGTTGTCAAGGAAGACTCGAAACATTACCGGACGATGAACTGGGCTAATGCCGGCGGCCTGCCTACCATACCTAAGGTACAGAGCTAACTGCATGGTTGGTTTACTTAGTTGTATCTTGATGACTGAAGTGCCGTACATTTCCCGTCAATGGGAATGAGCCGGGAGTGCCCCCTGAATCTTGAAAGGGCACTGCATATATTAAAAGCATGCCGCGGGAATATATTCCCTTACCATCATTGGTGCCCCTGCTTCAAAAAGCTGCCAGCTAATAAACAAGCCCAGATTTCGCATATTATGCCCATGCATTGTCAGCATGGGGTCGCGGCATTAAGGGGGAGGGGAAACGTGAATACAGTCGACAGTTGAGATGTAAACATCAACGCTATGACTCGAAGTACGCCCAAACAAAGCCCGATACATCCAGTCGATTGTAGAGCTGCCAAAGTCACATCAACAACATCAAAATGAGATTCAGCAGCATCAACCCGAACCTGCTCAAGGGGTTATGTCTCACCCCCCTTTTCGCAACATACGGGCAGGCTCAGTCGCTACAGGACGGATGTCCCAAGGATGAGCTCACATGCCACGACATTATGAATGCCAGCCAGTGCATCGAGCAGATAATCGTCGAGGGTCTCTCGCCAGTCACTAGAGAGGGTTTGGTCAAGTGTGTAGAGCACGAGGGCACTGCCAGCAATCTGCCAGGGGCAGTCAAGGTTAGTACATCACACCAAGCCGGGCATGGATGGTTTTAACACAACTCTTCCGTCAATAACAGTACTGCCGGTGCCCGGGCTGTCACACTGCGCAGATAAATGCCGTCATCGCAGAGATGTTCCCGCCGCCATGTGCATAGGTGGAATGGGTGGCAGCACAACGTGCATATGGTTCTTTTCGCGGATGCCCTGACCAGCAGGGCTGAGGTTCCAGCTCTGTTTGTTTGTTCATGTAACTTGACATCAAACACAAACCAGACAGCAGCGCGGCCCTGGGCATGGACCCGGCTGAGGATTGTGAATGTACCTAACCAAGGCGCAGGCAGAGAAACTTTTCACCGCTATAGGACTCGCTATGTAGATATCTTACTAGTAGTAAAAACGGGAATGTGCACCGAACTCTCATATCCTTATCGATCGTAACACTCGTGGCAACAGAACTGAACGAGTCCACTAGGTCTTAGTACCCGCAGCCTGACGCCTTCAGCTCTTCTGACCGGACTGTAGTAAGGACTGGAAGGTGCTCACACTCATCGAACTCACTCTCACATGACCACTTACCCGACTGTAAAAACAGAATCAGTGACCATGCCCACTAGCAGCAGCAGAATTCATCATCTCGACACTCTCGAGATAATCCCCCGTACCCCCAGCCGGGTCCCTATCCTTAGGCGTGCATGCAGCCCCCGCCTTACCCTGCCCCCTCGCCCCATCAACCCTCATCCACGTATTCCTACTCGTAGCCTTCATCAAGTTCTGCTGCGCGTCATCAAACCACCCATTAATAAAATCCCCATGGAAACAATACCCCTCGCCCACCTCCCCACACGCCAATTTCAACGGCGGCGTACCATTCCACCCACCAGGAATCAACCCCCTGACATTATACCTAACCGAAAACCTCAACTGCGGAATCCTCTTCATCCCCCCCGGACACCTGCCTCCATTTGCAGCCGAATAAGCATAATTCTTAATATCCCCCGGATTGACACAGTCCGGGAAGCGGAGGATGACCTGGATGTTGCCGGAGCATGTGACGCGGGGCATGAGCGCGCGGTCGCGGGTCTGGCGGTCTTCGGGGCCGTTCTCGCACCACCAGGTCAGGCCGGTGGTGCGCTCGTCGACGTCGGATTGGGAGCGTGCAGAGGCGTTGCCGGCGACGGCGAAGAAGTTGGCTGGGTAGGGGATCTCGGCTTTGTCAATGTTTTCGTAGTAGGTGCTGAACATGCCCGGGTTGACTTCGATGTATTCGGTCGGGGAGCGGACGTAGTACAGGGTGGGGATCCCTGGGGTTAGTATGTTAGGAGTCGGGTGGTTTCTTGAGGATGATGAGGTGAGGTGAGCGAGGGTGACTTACAGTAGACGGAGAGATCGTTGGGGTTCTGGCCCGAGGGGCAGCCTTTCTGAAGCTCTTCGGTGGTTGGCATGTTCTTGGTCACAGCATCCGAGCCAAAGAAGGAGTGCATGTGGGATCGGTACTGGCCGGGGGAGACGATGGGGTCGATATTCTTGACCATGAAGCGCTTGTGGCGGATGTCGGTGTATGCTGCTGCCAAGCCCATCAGGGCTCCTGCGACGATCAGAGTCCGCATGCTGAGTTTTTGTCCTCCTGGTTGCAAGAGGCTTCTTTGTTATTGTCTGTGGCGCCGGGCGACAGTGTGGTTGAAAGTGATGGCTACGAGTTGATACACCCGTCATCGACATGGAGACTGGAGCCTCGTCTCCTTTAACGTCGTGATCTACGAGCAAGGGCAACTGCACCTATCCCGACGTCTGTGGGGATTGGTGGACTTTTCTTATGATTTCGGTCAAATATACTAATAATCTCCTTTACCAGGCACCAATCTTCAAATCGACTTGCCCATCGCCAAGGTGGAACTTTCTCTGGTTAAGGGGTAGAAAATTAGGCTGACTGGTCCCTGGTTCCCACATCAAGACCCGGTTGGCCATGATATCCGGCAGTTGCCACGAGTTAGAAGAACTGCCGTGCTTGGTCCTCATCTAAGGCAGCCCATCTTAATAGCACTGGTATGAAACTAAGAGAGTACCTATGTGATGCAACACTCCTGCCATGAGGTGAGCAGAAATGCCGAACTGTCTTGACGTTGTGCTGGCAGTAACCATAGTGTCTAGTAAGTCGTATCATTTTATTCGGGGCCCTGAGATCGAGCAGACATATAGTAGAACTTGATTTCCAGCCCGGCAATCCGACACCTACAGAGGAAAAGGGATCCTTATACCGTTGGACGCCTACATGTTGACAGTCTCACCCAGATAAACATGACTTTATGGATCCAGCTTGAAGCATAAGCTAGTACTTCCAAGTAGTACTCCATCTATCAAGGGAATGATAACACTGCAGCGGAATTCCCAGGCAGCTTGAGCGACTGTGGCCAGATCCTCAAAAGAGTAGGAGTAGGAATGAGCAAGCCCCATCAGGTATTCAGTTCATGTTATGATCCGTCAGATACATCCAAGGTAAAGCTTGAACTAGCATCAGGGCTGGCCTGCTCTTCGGCATATTTATCAATCGAGAAGCTCGGTGCCTTCTCGCTTCCGGATTGCCGGAAAACTCAATGTACATTACCCCAGATTCTCGGCGGGAGTCCTTCCGCAGAGTTCGGTATAATTCGAACTTATAGGGACCGAGCTGCGAGAAGAGACCCGTTGGTTGTGCAAGCCGGGATTTGGGCGGTAAAATCGAGGCGGTCTCTCAGCTGGCTACCGTCTGGTGATCTTGTACTGACTGAAAGTGCATATGAACTCAACCTGGAGACGCTCTGATTGTTGTTGTCAGCCGCAACTTGGAATGATGCCCACCAGACTCCCGTCTCAGTCTTTCTAGCGGATGCACAGGCAGAACCCTGACATAACCATATATGTAGTGTTCTCAACTCTGCCCCATGTTGAAACTGTTGTCGCTATCCCGACCTCTTCGAAACCGAACTTCACACTGAGTAGGTGAACGATGGGACACGCTAGCCTCGTGATTCGGCTCCCGTCATGAGCACTGCAACGCTTTGATATCAGAAGCCACTGTCGCCATTGCTCGAGTTGAAATTAGGTTTCTTGCCATGTGAGAGACCCTAAGGTAAGTCTGCGCCGCGCTCAGACCACAGGGTTCGTTCATCATTTCTCACTGCCCTGCATTGCCAGGCTCAAAACAACATGAAATCCTTGGGGACATTTCCGCAGCAATGGTGGTTCCGGTCCGGATCCTTCACACCCCAGCTTTCTGTCAACCGTTGAACCAGCCCTCGCAATGGATTCAGACCCCCAAGCTGATACCGGTACACCCCCAACCGAAACCAAGATGCCAATGCCAGACCTTTCACAAACCCGCTTTCGCACAATCCACGCCTTGCTCGACGGTTACGCAAGCCTCAAACCCTCAGAGCTCCTCAAGCCCCTCTCGCCCGACTTCACCTACTCTGTGCTACCCTCCAGCCTGGGAATGAGAGACCTCGACAGGGAGGCCTTTGGCCTTCACGCAGCCGGTGTGTTTTCGGTCTTTGACCAGTTCCGAATGGTCCCCAGCACCATGTATGAGGATGAGAAGCGTGGTGTGGTGGTCATTCAGGCACGCATGGAGGGCAAACTCAAGGCCCGTCATGCCGGCCGGGGTGAATGGTCGAATGAGTGCGTCATAATTGTGCGGCTGTCCGACGCGGGGGGCCAGGTGGTGCAGATTCAGGAGTTTGTGGATAGTAGTAAGGCGATGGAGATGCAGAGACGGCATGGGCATGCAGAGGGGGCCTTTGCGCCGTTGGTGGGTGGTGAGAGGAGAAGTTGGTTAGCGAGCATGGTGTTGTTTATGTGTGGTCTTGTTGCGGGGGGGTTGGTTGGAGTTAGGCGGCTGCTGCTGGCAACATGAACCGTCTCCCTGCTTTGGGTTGTTTTTGGCCGATGGATGTTAGGGAGAGATCCTCGCCCTCAGCTGTGACACCAGTCAAGTTCAAGTTACATGATATGCAGTTGATTGGATGCTTCAGGATTGATACTGCTGCATCGTGAAGCTGTCACAATTCCTGAATCAAGTCCTAGCTTCTCTACCAATCCCTACGGGCCCTTCGGTTTCCAACCTTCCATGTTTGTAGCCTGAGCTATGAGAACCCACCTCCCCTCCCCCAACCTCGGGGTTGTCACCCGACCCTCACCCACCCCATCGAGTCTTCACCACCCCCTTTTTATTTTTAACGCACATGCTCCCTCATCGACTGCCACAACGCCACCGACCCCGCGACCAACGGCATGACCATCCTCACCACATTCAGCCTCGCCCAGCGTCTAGCATACTCCTCCGCCCGCCTCACATCCACATCAACCCCAACCCCATCACCCACCCCATCATCCACATCCTTCTCCTTGACCTTAGCAAACCGCAACCCCTCAAGCTTAGCGTTAATCGGCTGCATATTAACAGCCGAATGCACCACCGTGACCAAATGACACACCGACGACAGGGCATACCACCGCCAATCCGCGCCACGTCCGTATCCCCGCACCGCCGCCATCCAGCTGGCATAGGCGTACCCGAAGATGCCAAGCGTGCTGATGGGCCGGAAGAACACGTTGCCCAGCCGCCAGAAGATGGGCCACTGCCGCCCGAGATGGCGGGCCGCGGCGGGTTGGGAAGGGGAGGTAGGCGGGGGAAAGTCGAGGAGGAGAGCCGGGACGGACATGTAAGACTGGGTTATGGCGTTGCCTGGAAATGTGGAAGGGTATGGGGTTGGGGGTTAGCGGGGTTGAATGGAATTGAGGGTTGGGGGGTTGGATGGGGGCGGGATGGGTGCAGACGCACCGAGAAGGATGAAGGAGAAGGCGATTGTTGTGCCCAGGACGGCGTCGGTCGTCGTGGCTGGCATGGTGGCGGCAGTGCTGGTGTTTTGTGGTTCAGGCTGGTTGTTGTGGGTGGATTTCAGGGTAAAGATTTTATAATATTGGTCCTGAAAGCTACGATGGGATTCTGGAGAGAGACGCTGCTGGCGCTGCGTGGAAATGGATGGGAGATGGGAGGTTAGGGCTCCAGAGAGGATCAAGTCGGATTCGGGGGGTTCAGGGGCTGTCAGACATCAAATCTCACATCACACATGACGACTCAAAATCGTGAAACCCTTCGCCAAGATGAGACTGAGACAGGTACATACGGAGTGAGTGCCCCCTCAGGCACGTAATGAAGACGTTTAGTTGTTGGTCCGGTGTTTCCGGTTTGCATATGGTCAAACTGTCTCGCAGTCGCTCCAAAAATACATGTAACTAACTGGTCATTTGCTGACCGGCCCCTGAGAGAGGAGGAGACGTGCTCTCAGGGTTGCTGACGCTGAAGATCATATAATACACGCCTACGATGGCAATAAGTCAGGTAGGTACCATTCCCTCGATGTGGTTCAAGAGCCGGTAAAGTGTCTAGAAATGCTAAGCTCGAGGCTGAACAAGAAGCCTTGGTTCTTTAACAGCCAGGTGAGAACATTGTCTGCGTTCAACAGACCGCCGCGCAGGATGCACATGCAGCTTACGGCGCCCGGTACTAGCATGGATACAGGACACTAGTAGGTACAATACCTAGGTAGGCATAAAGTGCCTGCTCACTTACTGCATGCATAGGTACTGATGGACATATAAAGTTAAACGAGATTGGGATTTGCCATTGCGAAAGACCAGGCATCATTGGTAAGGTACATCATACATGTATGTAGGCTGGTAGTGCAGCGAACATGGGCACACTTCCAGGACTGCTAATATTACCAGCACCGGTTTCAACAGTGTCCGCGAAGGCCCGTAATCGCGGCTAGTTGACCATCTGGACTGTAATCGGTACAGCTGCAGGGGAGCGCAGTCCCGGGAAAGAGTTGTTGATACCGGCCACCCCCTGAAGGGGCACTGGGTATGCGCCACCCCCTGTGGCTGACACGAGCAACCAACCGGGTTGGCACCCAAACCCTTGCTTGGTCACTTAATCTGAACAAGTTCAGGGGTTGAGGCCGTTCAAACTACAATATGGTAAACAAAAACAATCATTTGAGGATTGAGTAGGTATCTTCAAGACGATCATTTTGAGCATTACCTCTACAATACATACAACGGTTATCGGTTATCCCCAAGGCGATACCCAGCAATGAACTCCTAGCCCCAGCCATAACTCGATACCATCTAAACAGAAACAGGCCCCTCCCCCTTCCTTTCCAACCCTTCCATCTCCAAACCAACACACCACGACGCTACCCTCTCCCTCCTCCTCCCCTCACCCTCACCCACCCTCCTTACACCCCCAGCCTTCCCAACCCCGTCCCTGGCCCTCTTATCCTCCATGTCCCTCTCCGCCCTCTCCCACAACCTTGACGCCTCCCTCTTCCGCTCCTCACTCCTGGGCTCAAACTCCATGCGAAACGGATCCGGCTTGATGATAAGCAGCGAGTTTGACTTATCCAACGGCACCGGAAAATGTTCTCCAGTAACCGGATCCCGCTTGGGCTTGAGATTGAAGCACCACGCCAGCGCGCCACACGCCACCACCAGCTCGTCCTGCGTGACTGCCATCCCCAGGCACTGGCGCTGCCCCCAGCCAAAGGAGGACATGCCCTTGAGGGTGGGGTACTTGGTCAAGGGGGTTTGATAGGTCGGCCAGCCTGGCTCGAGCCAGCGCTCGGGGCGGAATGAGTCGGGGTCGGGGTACCGCTTGGGGTTGCGGAGGAAGGCTCTGTGGGAATGAAATTGGGAGTGGTTAGTGGGTTGGTTTTGGGAGAGGGGTGGGGAGGGATGGGGGAAAAGACAGGGGTTGGAAAAGGGGAGGGGGTAAGTACGTACAAGTCGAGAGGTAGTAGACGGGTTCCCTTGGGGATGAAGTACCCGTTGTAGACGTCGTCTCGTTCCGCTTCGTGGGCGACGCCTGAAGAGTGAGTGTTAGAAGGTAGCACGCCAGACCTAGAATGTCCTCATAAGTGGTTACCGGTCGGCACGTTAGGCTTCCACCTCATCGTCTCCTTGATACACGCTCTCAGAACGGGCAGCTTCGGCATGTCATCCAGCGTCGGCATCCGGCCTTCACACTGGACATCAACTTCCCTCTGCACCGCCTCCTGCCATTCCGGGTGATGCACCATCGCCACCAACCAATACGACAGCGGGCCAGCAATCGTAAAGATCCCCACCAGCGCCAGCATCCCCAGAACCGACGACGCCTCATAATCCCCCGAGATACACATCTTCCCCCCTTCCCGCTGCTGCCTCTCCAGAAACTGCCTCGTCCAACAATGCCCCAGCTCCCCCCTGCGCAACCTCTCCTTGCTCTCAACCAACCGCTGCATCCACCAAGCCTGCTGTTCATCATGTCTCTTTTTCTCGGCCCGCTTCCACGGGTTGAGACACAACGGCAGATGCCAGAGGGGAGTTAGAACATTGGTGATGGGCCCTGCCGGGGACATTTGTTTGAGCAAGCCCCAGGCGCTGGTAGTCAGCTCGCGGCTCATGGAGGTGTCGTCCCAGGTTAGCTGGCACATGATCTTGGACGACATGTCCTCGAGCGAGGTCTGGAAGTCGTCGGGGGATTGGATGAGTCGGGCGAGCCACCGCTTGGCCTCGAAGTACATCACCCCGTGGTAGTGCGCGTTGGTGGCTTCGGTGAGGTAGGCGTGCGCGAGTTTGCGCTGGCGAGACCAGTACTCTGGAGTGAACAGGGAGGTGAGGTGAGTCAGGGGTAATGGATGAACATGGGTTAGGGGAGGACAAACCGTTCCGGCCCATTAGAGGCAGGTATTCCATTGACCCGCTGGAGCTCTTGGAGTCAAACAGGGACTGGACTTGTGGGCGATCCGAGTTGTACTTGGCCCGCCTGACAAGGAGGTCCTCTGCGATCTTCTCGTCGGTGATGATGAGGAACTTGGTGCCCAACATCTGTGTCCTGTACAACCCGCCGCTGCCGTACTTGTCGGCCCATTCCTTGAATTTGATCCACATATACTGGATGGGCAGGTCGTGGATGCGGCCCAGATAGGGGATTAGAGTCGGTCCAGGCGGGCCATTGGGATCGTTCAGCTCCCGGAATGTCTTGATGAAGTGGCCGATGGCGATCCCGAGAATGAAGATCACCAAGAGCCCAAGAATAACGGGCTGCATCTTTGCCGACCGGAACGAGCTGGCAGTTTTGAGAGGCTGTCGCGAGCGGATTATGGGGGCGATTACCGTTACCTGGGATCCGGAGAAGGAAGAAGTGGCAAACCTGTGAGGTTCTGGCTAAAAAAGAAACATCTAATGTTCATCTTTATTTTGCTCTGAATGATGAGCAGGCTTTTGGCTTTTTTTCAGGACCTGACAGCACACCGCACTTTACTCTCCATCCCGCCCATGAGTCGCAGACCGAGGTGCGTCGAGGCGGCAGCAACGTCTCATCTCGCCCGGCCACACGCCCTGTATTCGTGTTGTTGGGAGCTGTTCAGTTGAGATGAGTGGAAGAATGGCTTTGTATTATGAAGATGTCGACGAACAAGTTGAAGGCTTGCGTACTGCAGCTATGAATCCAGTCTTCAACAGAGTTTAACGCGTGAAGTAGGGGTAAATTCAACAGCTGATTCGCCATTTCTGGTGTGTTCTGTCTGACAGTGTGGACAGGAGGTGTAAGTCCCCGAGCCCCTAATGCAGAATGACGGCGCTAAGGTACCGGACAACGCAGGAGACAACAACGCTCGCTGTCGTAATCATTTGCTAAGAGCGCTGCACACATGAAATCACGATGCCGTAATGGTAAAGGGTTGTTGAGGTTTCTATCATCATCCTTTACATAAATCCTAGAGCTGGCGCTCTTCGCTCGCCCTTGGGAGCCCGAATGTAAACAAGGCATCTACCATACTACTAGTGAGTGAGTGCATTCCTAAGCCTCCGATGAGCCCTCTCAACCCAGAGCTGTTGGAGATCATGAACTCTAACTACCTGGTTGGTGGGCATCTGTTCTTCTATACACCGTGACCTTGCCCACTCCTGCCCCTGCTCGTGAGCCTGTCACCGGCAGCTTGGATCTTGAGGACACGCAGGAAAGAGCTTAAGCGCCGAGACGAGAGTATGATAATCTCAAGTACCCATTACCTGCACGGTCAGCTGGTGTAAGAGGCAGCATGTCTCCCGCAACTTTATTGACCTCGCCTGGCCCACACGGGGTGCTGGGACAAGCACCGCTTCAGACTGGAGGATTGAGATGCCTAAGGTACCTTGCATTCTATTACATCCTGTGCCCACTTACCGCCGGTCACGCGATACTTTCGTCTGCAGGAACACATGCAAGCAAATTGGCCGTGTCAAGCATGAGCGTGGTGGCATGTGATACTACATGTAACATACTGCATCACTCTCCTCTGGATGTCTGAGTGGCTGCATGAACACGCAGCTGCAGTCACCGGTGGCCGTGGCGGCAGGTTCCAGCTAGGCTGGGATAGCAAAATATCTCCTGATGAGGGCTGATAGATGATGCTCGTTGGCGGTAGACCAGCGTCGGCTTAGTGTCATGGTCACCGGAAGCGCCGGAAGAGATATGCGAGAGGTTCTATATAGGGGTACAGTGAATGCTCACCTCCACCCAGTAAGTATCCTGATCTCACCCCTGACTTTGGTCAGGTCAACTCCCTCGCTGGAACACAGAATGGCACAATGCCGCATTCACTTGACTCAGACTGCAAACCCGTCGGGTCCTACCCGCCCAGCGGCATCGATGTGCTGATCGTAGGCACCGGCCTGGCCGGGCTGACGGCCGCCATCGAGTGCATCCGCAAGGGGCACAGCGTGCGTGTGCTCGAGAAGAACAACGACATCAACACCGCAGGTTCGTCTATCCCCTCCCACCTACCAGTACTTGTACTTGCAATCAGAGACTAACCGTTGAAAAGGCGACATGTACTTCATGGGCCTATCCGCAACCCGCTTCTTCAAGCACTGGCCGGACCTGGCAGCCGAGTACGACCAGATCTCGCTGCACAACTGCTGGATCGAAACCTTCAAGCACGACGGGACTCAAATGGTTCCCCCTCTGCTCGTCTCCCAGCGGCTGCGAGACGAGGGCCTGGATCCGGACACGCCCCCCGGGACCTTCCAGATGCGGCCGCTGGTGTACAGGATGTATGTCCGCCAGGTGGAAAAGCTGGGGGTTGACATTCAGTTTGGCAAGAAGGTGGTGGATTACTTTGAGGATGAGGAAAGGGGCAGGGCGTGGGTGGTGACGGATAAGGGGGAGAGGTTCGAGGCGGATGTGGTGATTGCCGCTGATGGGGTGGCGTCGAAGAGTCAGAGGCTTGTTGGTGGCCAGGTGAGGGCGATGAAGTCGGGCAGGGCCATGTGGCGGGCTGCGTTTCCTGTTCATCATCTTGATAAGGATCCGGAGGTGAAGAGGTTTTTTAGGATGATGAAAGGGAAGACGGGGCCTGAGCCGATTATTCGGACTTGGTTGGGGTACGTTGCCATACTCTTCTGTTGGAGTGTCCAGGGAATCTCGCTGACAGTATGTCAACAGTCCGGGGACCTATGCCTTGACATTGACCCGAGAAAACACCATCATATGGATCATGAACCACGATGTAAGCCCTTGCCTGCTCTGAGATCGAACCTTTGGCAAAGCACCTCCACTAACATTATCTCTCAAGGTCACCGGCTCCGAAAAGGAATCCTGGCACAACACCATCCCCGCGGACGAAGTCCTCGAAAACATCGACAACGGCGTCGGGGCCCGGCCCTGGGCGCCCATCTTCAAAGCCCTCGTCCAACTAACCCCTCCCGACACCATCGTCAACTTTGAGCTGTTCTGGCGGAACCCTCAACCCAAATGGGCTTCCCCGGCAGGGCGCGTAGTCAACATTGGAGACGCAGCCCATTCCTTTCTCCCCGCGTCAGGCAACGGCGCGACGCAGGCCATTGAGGACGCCATTTCCCTAGCATCATGCCTGCAGATTGGTGGCAAGGCGAACATCCCCCAGTCGGTGCGCGCGCATGTTCGAATGCGGTTTATTCGCAACTCGTGCGCGCAAAAGATGGGGTTTAGCAATGCTGAGTTGCTGCAGAAGACGGATTGGGATAGGGTCAAGGTTGATCCAAGGTTGGCACAGCCTAAGTTGCCCATGTGGATTTGGAGCCATGATCCGGAGAAGTATGCGTATGAGGTGTATGATAAGGTCGTGGAGAGTATGAAGAGGGGGGTGCCGCTGGAGGAGGATGATAGCATACCGCCAAACTACCCGCCGGGGTATAAGTACCAGCCGTGGAGTATTGAGCAGATACTGGAGGAGGTGAGGAATGGGAAGCCGGTTACGTTGGGGGAGGGGAATTGGCGCTGAGGGCAGTCAGGGGCGGGTTGGGAAGGGAAGATAAACAATTCGATATTGCTTGCTAACTTGTTTTGAAATAAGTTAGAATGGCCGTCGCTTCACGACTAGGCACTCCTACTAGGTTCCTCTCAAATGTTACAACAGGTTCTATCATGTGTCGATGGAGTTTCTCACAGACCCCTGAATCTGTCTAGTGGTGCGGGTACCTTAACTACCTAGGTACCTACTTTCCAGTCGTAAGTTGGAGAGAGATATGGTAGGATCACAATTAGTAGCACGAGGTGTTATGTTGGTAGTCTGGTAGAGGGCTCCAAGACCTACTGTCCCTTTTTCGGGATTCCCGAATCAGTTCGATGCAGCGATATAGTGTTCACTCATCTATATCAACCTCAACAAGTTTTGATGTTGACGCAGCTTTGAGTTCGATGCTACCCCTTAATACTGATATATCCCGCAGTCAGGGGCGAGCAGTGTTTACGACCGCGGTACATCCTAACAAACAAACTCAACGAGATGATTGCCAGTCTCAACTGGCCAGGCCCTTCCCCAACGACCTGCCCCTACCAAAACATGAAGCCATCGGCATCTCCCGTCCAGTCACATCAATCAAGCCGAGCACCCAACCCTCGTCGACCCAATCACAATATCATCATACCAAAATGTATTCGCATCCCCACCATACGACTCCCACCCGAAATTGACCGCCGTAACCCTCGGCTTAATACTACTCCTCTGCCACTGAGCCGCATTCGGGTTCGAGACCCCCGGCTTGCTCGTCAAGCCCGCAACCACCGCATCGTTAAGCCACGTCTCAACACTCCCATCCGTGCCCAGATGGTACTCCAGGCACTGCCAGGTGCCCGTCGGAAGCGCCTTGGACGTGGCAATCCCCTGCGGAGAGAGGTCAGGCAGCGTCGCATCGTCCGACTCACGGTTGTACATCATGATCTTGCTCTGCCCGCCGATGCGCAGGTGTTTCTTGTTGCCCTGGGCGGAATCCGGCATGGTGATGAAGGTGACGTGGGCGTCGGTGAAGGGCTTGGAGGCTTTGCTGTTGTGAGATGGGGAGGGTGGTTAGCATCATATCAAAATCATACATGCTTGTCTGCCGTGGGGATGACTGGCTTGAACTTACAGCCACACCCGAACGTAAACATCACCGCTAGGAACCTTGTTGGTGCCAAAGAAGATGTGTCCGCAGTAGCCGCCCGCACCGTCGACCCTCATCGAGTTCTTGCCGCTGTGGGCAGTGGAGCTGTCGAGCGTGATTTTGCCCCCCTGACTGCAGTCGGGCGCGTAGGTAGGCCATGCGGCTTGATCCCATCCGCTCTCGAAGCCCTCTGAGATCTGGGCGAGGGAGAAAGGGAGGAGAGCCAGGGCGGCGAAAGCAGCGTGGCCCAACATGATGGGTGTATGTCTCTAGCAGTCGTTGGGATAGGAGGTAATGAGAAGAGTGCGAGCCTCGGGGGGCGGGGAGGCTACCTGAAGTAGGTGTTCATGTGTGAGAACTCGCGGCTGCTTCCTCCGCTGCCGCGTCCCGGAATTGTCTTATTGTGCCTGTGCCACGGCATTCCTCCGCTTTTTTATACTGATTTGCTCCACAGTTCGGAGGTCTTGGCCCCGTGTACGGGATCCTGAACGGCCTCCCTTCATCCTCCCTAGTTCTTTCTCCCATTGCACAAGCAACCATGCTTCGGCGGTGTTGTCTCTTTGGGAGATGGATGGCCAGATGTACCCCCAGGCCCCTAACCTCCATGTCAAACGTATAAGCTTCGCACCCAAAGGTACTATGGCCTCTCACATCTCCTGGGTGGTGTAGAGTACTTCCCCTACCTATATCCATGCAAGAGCGGCAGATATAGCAGTGACTTAGGCTAAATATGGGTACAGATACACTCGCCTGGGTTTCTACACACGGCTCGCTAGGCGTATATAGCTCCCGCCCGTTTACACAAATTGTACATACCGTATGATCTCGCGAATAAGGAAAATTAGATGTGGATATGCCCAGCCCGCAAAGTCAGACATCCACCAATGGGAGCACCAGGGCAAGTGTGGCTAGAGTGGCTGTCCTGCATCTTTTGCTCGATTTTGCTGTGCTGGGTTGGCTGGGCAAGCCACATCTAATTTTCCTTATTCGCGAGATCATACGGTACCTGTTTCGTAGACTGCTTGCTTGACCCTCGCAGATTCGAATATGCACCAGCATCTCACTATGTGTACTCCCTTGATCCAAATCATACCTGGGAGTATGTGGCTGTGCTCAACATGCAAGGATTACTAATAATCTCATGGCCGAGAGATCAAGACTGTCGGCCTGATAAAAAGGGGGGGATGGGCACGTTGTGGCGTTTCTTTTGAGGCTTACTGAGCATGCTATTCATCAATTCTAGCGATACCTACCCTGCCCAGTGTCTTCTCCTCGCAGCCCTTCCTATCCAAAGGCAGCAAGCTGTTCCATCACTTGCGCGAAACCCTCACAGAACTCCATCCTCGTACTTGCTCCCAGCGCCTCTGGCCTCACAATCGGTGGAGAAATCTTCCTATTCCGCTCCTTGCCGGCAATAATCCGCTCCCTTGCATACGCAATTCCATCCACCAGGCTGTCCGTCGAGAGCAGATGATTTGCCAAGTCCGCCGCCGTCTTGACCGAACCCCCCAAGCGTGCTTTCCAGAACCGCTGAAACCGCTTCGTATACCCCCCCGCAGGGCGGAACAACTCCTTCACCTCCTGCACAATGGTGCGTTTTGGGTCGGCCATGAGCGCCATGCCAATGTTGTACGCGTCTACGTCCTCGACAAAGTCCCGCAGCTTTGCTGTCGTGTCAAACATCTTTTTGTACGCTGATTGCGCAAGCCGCTCGAGGCAGAAATCGTCACCTGCGAGCTTTGTTTTGGACGCGCGCGCCGCAACCTGCCAGTCGACATAAAAGGTGATGAGGTCGCCAGCCCAGCCGAGGAGGTCGCTGATGTTCAGCCGGCTGTCGAGAATATTGGCTAAGGTTTGCATCTTCGATTCGAGCGTGACGCCGTCGAGGGCGGCACCAAAGTGGGAGACTTTGATGCTGACGGGCTGCAAGGGGTCGGCCACCCAGTCGATCATGGTGAGACCGGACTTGGTGACATGGGCGATCCACTGGGCATCGAGGTTGCCGAGTGTCCGCTGGAAGGCGGGGCCGGCGTACTCTTTGTGCCGGAGCCACTGCATGACGGCCTTGTTTGGGCTTTTGACCTCGTGGCTACCCGGGGTGGCGAGGTAAGCAGTCGCCAGAGTGTAGAGCCTTTCGATGTATGTGATGAAGTCTGTGGGGCTTGTCCCGGGTGTGGTGGGCGGCGGGAATGCGAGCCGGTTTGCTGCATCAGTCATGGAGGCGCAGAGACGCTCCAGTTCGTCGGCGTCGAAGGGTAACGCGAGAGGCTCGAACCCGAAGGTTGTGCCTCTCTGCTTGTTCTCATCGTCAACGGTCTTCTTGAGGGCCGCAAAGTCGCCTTTTCGAGGCATGACTGCGATGAATTTTGTTGTCTGCTTGCTCGGGTTCTGAAGAAGCTCGACCCTAGTCTTACTGCCGTGAATCTGGAGCTCTGTAAAGTTGAGAAGACGATCGAGATCACGGGTCACTTGATCCCCCGTTTCTGAAGCCAGTATCTATCAAGGTGGACAGCGCGTGTGAGTAAACTGCAGTGGTCATGCACAAGTTTGATGTTGCAGATTGGCGACATACTTGGGGAAGGAAATCGTCAACTTCCTTTTGGAACTTGCTTCCAGTTCTTTCAGACACCTCAACCAACCGGGCCCACACTCTTGCCGCCGATGCACGAAGCGTGATCCGTTCTTGTCGAGTGAGCGCCTCGAGTTTGACCTTGGAGAAGCGGAACTCGCGACACCCGAGCCCTTGGAGTTTGATCTCGAGGATGGCCGCAATGTAAAATATGCCATTCAAAAAGTAACCCAGCACGCCGTCCGTAACCTGCGGTGATCGCATCTTTGATGGATCGTACGGGACGGATATCCCATGTCCCGGCACGAACTCAAGCATGCAGCCAGGCGGCAGGGCAATGTCCAAGACGTATTTGCCCAACTTGTGTCGCAGCAGGGCGCCGAGAAACGACTCTGCCAGTTCGCTTTGAAGCTGACACTGTAGTTGCGGCACGTCTGGTCCGACAGACAAAATTCGGCGGACGGCGTGCTGATCGAGGTAGGCTGGGCTTCTTTCTATCCAGGGAAAGGTTGTGGACAGCTTTCCCCATAGAGTGCGCACCATCTCCTCTGGCTCCTGATAGCTCGGGGTTGATAAACCAAGCTTCTGGGCAGTGAGAACTGGGAGACGCGCGACGACATCACTGTGAGCCCGGTTAGGGAGTTTCCCTTTGAGTCTAATCGTCTCGGCGGCGTCAGCCAGCGTCCTCCACGCTTCTTGATTTTGTAGCAGCTTATCAGCACAAGCCACCGTCTTTTTCCACGCCTCAGGTTCTCCACCATAGACGTTTCCGAGTCTGCTGGGAGTGTACATGATCCGGCCGGCCCTGAAAAGTCGATCGGCGATGGGCAACGGAAAAGCAGCAGCTAACACAGCGCGCTCTGGCTCCGTCAAGTTGGCGAGCAGGAGGATATGCTTTGCCTCGCAGAGTGGATAGAGGTTATTGCTGATTCCAAGGGCCGCAATCAAGGTGATGCACGAGTCCAGAGTATCCATGGCAAGCTGGTGTCCCGGCTGGCCAGGATGCGCAGTTGTGTGCACTGCCTTGAGAACAGCAACAATCTCTTTGTGCTGCAGCATGAACCTTGTCATGGTTGTATTGACGGTTTCTGAGAGCAAAGTAGGCGTTACCTGCTGGGTCTGGTACCATGCCAAAAACCTGACTCTGAACATATCGACGAATGCCGGTGACTTTGCGGCTTTTCGGAATGGGGAGAGCGTAGACGGCCTGGTGATCCTCCTGCAAGCAGGGTAGAGCTTGGTAACATCCCTCTGTATAGCGGAGAGATATTGTTCGTAATCTTTGATGCGTTGCGCCCACAGCTTATCTCGTCCTGGTCCCTTGTCCCAGTGAACAATGTCTTCGGCTTGGTTGACGACGACATTGTGCATCGCATCACACCATCTGAGGTACTCCCATATCTTGACAACACAGCAAGTGAATTGTTGACCCACTGATCTCGTTTGATCTTGTAGATTTGTCGTGCAACGGCAATGGAATCTACTGGGGATGCAGCAATCAAATGGCCCTCGAGAGTGGCTGCAGCATCTTTGAGAGCCTGATCGAACATGACGGTTTTGGGTTTTGGCGTCTCGAGGTTGAGGGTTAGTGGACTTAAAAGTCTCAAAAAGGCCGCTCGAGCACTGAGGTCAAGGACTAACTACCTACCTGTAGGTACCTACGGATCTTATAAACAAAATGCTAACCTAAGGTTGATCAAATTCTGGCCAGCCAGCATTTGTTGGCCTGTCATTCACCTCTCAAGCATGTCAAGTGGGAAGGAGGAACCAGGACATGACCTGTATTTATTTGGGGCCACTGCGGGCACTGCGCTTGGCTCTGTTTCCCCCCTTCAACCCTCCAGCCGACTTCACCGAATACACCCATTTCTTCAATGCGTTTTTCAAGCAGCATGGCGTCGGTGATAACACGCGACATGTGTCAGACCGATGGCATCCATTTGCCTAACCCGGCGCAACCCGCGGCAGACGGACGGCATGATCAACGCCCTCCCGCGTAAACCGGGCAGCCGTGGCTGAAAACCTCTTTGACATGTGGTCGCACCTATGACGGGAGCAGCAGGAAATCCAGGACCTCCTTTATTTGAGCTTTCAAAACCATGAGGAAAGCCCGATGTAATTTCCCTTGGACCGCTGTGGTCAAAGTTGAGGCGACGCTCCACCACTCTGTGGGCGTCGGAATACCTTTGGGGCTGAACTTGGAACCCCGATTGTGCACTGGTATTTCCGCCACAAGGCAGGCGACCTTACCAGGTATTCTTATGTCCAAGCCAGTATAAACCCCCGGTAGTAACCCATCCGTGGATTTCACCCTTGCATACCTACGTTAGGCATCCTCTGCTGTATTCCAGACCTTGGTCCAGCTACAACGAACGTCCGCGTCATGACCGAGCCACTTTTCCGATTTGTGGTTCTCCGGTGTATGTTGGCAACACCACTATGCATTGAATCGCATTGCTAACGGTCTGCAGCCCCCATCAAGGGGGATCCGAACCGCCCTCTCATCCCCCTGGTCCAGGAGAGTGATTTTCAGGCGAAGCTCAAAGAGGCAGCATAGTCCTCGACCCCTCGAGACAGTATCCAGGCTGTATGCAAAGATTTCATCAAATCCAACCGGTTCGTCAGCTCCGCCGACGGCACCGACTTTCAGAATAAGCTTGTCCAGTTCAGCTTGCTGGTCGACAACCTAGAGCGGGCTGGAGCTGCCCAGCTGGAGCCTGTCATCAACACTGTAGAACAAGTCTTTGGGCAACAGCCCTCCAACCTTGTCAGGCAAGAAGACTTTTTGAGCCTCAAAGGGGCCCTGAAGGACTCGATTGTTGCTGTTAAATATGTTCAAGTAAGATTGTCGCTCCCCGGCCTCTTACTCCTGCCGTTCTGATGTCGGAATAGGAGGCACACGCTCTCCCCCTAGCGGCGATTGCGGACCAGCTTCGCGACATGGAGCTAATCGAAAAGGCTGTCTCAACTCCCTCTACCTCGCAGCCTCGTGCCGTTTCCTCCGATGCGGAGACGCAGCCTGAGGAGCACCCCAGACGTAGTGAACCAGGCTGGGCCCCACACAAAAACTACAACGTCGGGGACCGCGTTCGGTTTGAAGACATCATCTACGAATGCATCCAAGCCCACAGATCCCAGGTGGATTGGGAACCTCGGGTTACCCCTGCGCTATGGAAGGCCATCAGGGCCTGTGAACCTGAAGCTCCTGAGATCGACGTCCAGCTCTACCGAAAACGCACGTTTTTGCTCCCTCTAGACTTGGATCTCAAGTCCATCCTGGCCATGGCTGCCGACGAGAAGATAAAGGAGCTAGACAACCAAATCAAGGCAGCCAAGGAGGCCGAAGAGGAAGCCCAGAAGCTTTTGGCGAAGCACAAAAATCTCAGCTTGGCCGTGACTGAATTGGTGAAAATCAATCCTAACCAACTTCAGGTCACCGTACCAGAAAACCACACAGGGGCGGAAGTCGACGCAAAGTTTACAAGAGAAAACCGATCTGGGCGACCAGCTAGATTACAGAAGCTCGCTGAGGAAAGTTGCACTCGCTAGGTCTGACCTGCCTATCAGGGCAGCTGCCGGCGGTCCTACTTCCAGCGCTGCAGCCTCTGCATCCCTCGCCGATGAGGGCCCCCAGGACCTACCCCAGCTCCTGCACCAGCAGAGCCCACAGGAGCATTTTCCCTCGCCAAAGATTTACTCAGTTCCACAGGGATTCTTGGGCCTTTGGGGCCGTGGAAGAACGTGGCTGCAGAGATGAGGACCCCTCGTTTCAAAGAAGGTGCCAGGTCAGGGCTCAGCGCTGACACACTGAAGATCTTGGAAGACCGACCCAATCTTTTAAAACAGCCTATAAACTGTTGGTGTCTCTTTTTCTTGGGGCCTATCTACTAGTAGCAACCCGCGCAATGAGCTGACAACTGGACCTGTCTTGTAGCCATCGTTAAGGGCCTTCGCATGGAGCTGGATGAAGTGTTGCGTGCACTCCAGGAGCTGGTACCTTCGGGCGAAAACGTCACCTACTCCCGCATGGGGTCCGCTTTCATCGTATCAAGGACCAGTTCTGTCCAAGGCTACATCTCTATTGTACGGACACTGGGTTTCGCGCTTTGCAACCGCCCTTTCTGCACTGCCTATTGACGGGCGAGTTCCAATGACAAAGGGCAAGGTCACGCCGTCGGGGGTAGCTTACCTACTTGTTGTCAAACAGACGCTCAAAGGCTACCAGGGAGCCGATATTGCCCATGTCGAAAATGTGCTCAAGGGGGAGACCAAGCACAGGACGCACAAGAAGACGACGAGGACCGAGGGGGTCATTAACATTGAGGCCGAGACAAATTCCAGCGAGGAGCACGAGCTGTCGACTACAAGTCGGTTCGAGATGAGTAAGGAGGCGTCCAACACCATCAAGGACGACCAGAGCTTGAAGGGGGGTCGCTCAAAGTGTCGGCCAAATACGGTCCAGCCGTGAGCATCGACGCAAGTGTCGAGGGCAGCGTGAGCCGGAGCGGCGAAGAGGTCAACAAGGCGGCGAGCAAATACAGCGAGGACGTGCTCGAATGGACGGTGAAAAAGATCTCCGAGAGGGTCTTGGAGAAGCGGTCGACAACCTCTGTGGTAAGTATGGCGTCGAAGCCGTCAAAGCTTGGGAGACAAACACCTGACCGATTGAAAACAGAATGAAATCATCGAGGAAAACCAGCACGGAATCAACAATGCCAACGGCACCGGACACATTTCGGGCGTCTATCAGTGGCTCAACAAGGTGTACGAGGCACGCGTCTTCAACTACGGACTGCGAATGATGTTGTGAGTTGAATCAACGCTCGCTCTAGTACCTTCCTACCTGAGCAAAGGTTCAGCAACATTGACATGGAAACACTCCCATCAGCGATTTCATGGTCCCCGAGCCCGCTGCGTTTCTCACCTACGCGGTCGCCGAGGCCGCCACCAATACCGAGTCCGGCCTGCTGCTGGAGAAGCCGTCGACTTTTGCGCTAAGACCGGCAGATATTAACGAGAACAACATTGGCAACCTCATTCTCATGTACCAGGCCACCGACGTGCTTCCGCCGCCCGAGGACTACCTCACTATCAGCGACCAAAGTAAATTCGGCGGCGGTGACCCCAGCACCAGCTACAGCCACGGAGCCATCCTCTCGGTCCCTTCTGGCTACGAAGCCGTTTGGGGCACCATCTCAATTGTTTGGAGCACATGGAAGCAAGAGGCAGTCATCGACGCCCAGGTCGGCAGTGAAACCCACCGGTTCGAGAATAATGGCAGGTGGTCGTGGGGCACAAGCCTCGCCAACCCATACAGCGGCAGTAAAGTTGCCAGCGGCGGGTCCATTCCCTGGGGCTTCAGCACCTGGAGCGCCTCAGACGGCGTGGTCTCGGTCGAGGTGCTATGCCGCGTCACGGACCGCCGTAAGCAGCAGTGGCAGGCTGAGACCCACGCCAGATTGATGACGGTGTACAAGGCCCGCATGCAAGAGTATGAGGAAAAGCTCGCCCGCCATAAGCTGCAGGAGGGTATTACGATCCAGGGAACGTAAGTTTTTTTTTTTTTTTTTCTTTCCCCCCTTAACCCGACTGTCATTGTTTCCACTAGGTATCCATTCCGGGGATCAGCAGACTGCCCAACGGACTGACCGATTTTCCTAACCAGGAACCCCACGGCGAACCTAAACACCATCAAGTCCGAGTTGAAGAAGCACAGCATCTCCATCCTGACCGCTCAGCACTATGATCTCTTCAACTCTATCACCCACCCTGCTCCAGGTGGACGACCAGAGATCAACCTGCACGAGGCCCAGGCCGAAGGCGTCTACGTCCGTTTTTTCGAACAGGCGTTTGAGTGGGATCAAATGAGTACGACACTTCGCTTTCTCTCTCTCCCCTTTGCCAGCCCCCCCCCCCCCCCCCCCCCCCCCCCCCCCCCCCCAACCCAACCCAACAAAATGAACTCTCACACATCTTCGTCGGCCACGCATATGATAACCAAAATCCTAGTTTACATCACATATCCCTATTTCTGGGGCGACAAGTCAAACTGGGTCTCCAAGCTAACGATCAACGACCCGGATCCCGTCTTCGACGAGTTCCTCAAAAGCGGGTTCGCTCGGGTGGTCGTGCCCGCACGCCCCGGGTTCGAAGGCGCAATCGACCACTTTATGCGCTTTGGCGAGCCGTGGAACGGCGGGCCCTTGCCGGTCGTCACAAGCAACCTCTACGTTCCCATTGCCGATGAGCTCGCCGAGCGGCTTGGCAAGCCGGGCCAGGAGGTTCCGCAGGGGGATCCGTGGGAGGTTACGTTGCCGACGACGCTGGTGAAGCTGAGGGGTGATGATAGCTTGCCGGTTTGGAAGAAGGAGGGCGGTGTTTGGGTGCCGGGGAGCTAAGGCTAGGTATCAATCACGTATTGGGCTGTCATGAAATTGGATTGTTTGCAGTTATCTCGAAATGAATCGGATTTGTCTCATATGGTGCCCTCTGGCAAGGCCAGGGCGCTTCCTTACGTATGCATGTGGAAAGTGACAAGGTTCGCGGTCTCTTTACCATCTCCCATCATGAGTAGATCATGAGTTAAATAAGGTAAGGAGATGTGAGCCAGAAACCATCGATGACTTCATTGCTCGTTTCCCGCCATTTTCTGGTTGTGTTGCACCAAATCACTCGAATTCCCATATAAACCCTTCCACACGGCTACCCTCCCGTACGCCTCGTCCTTGGGTGGTCTCCATTCCACCCCCGGCCCTGAGCCGGAGTGAGCGACGTCACATAAGCGAGGTACGAAAACAGAAATGTTGTGTGCCCAGACTCGTCTCACAAAACAGATAATGCCATCCCGGGTATCAATCCTTCTCAAAAGCCTCCCTCAACTCCCTACAGCACTCACGATACAGCTCTTCCGCCCCCGGCGGCAGCTTAGTCGGGTCCGGCGACTTGTCCCAAGCATGCGGCACTCCCGGAATCATCTTGTAGCGCACGTCCTTATTAATCGGGGCGCTCCCCAGCCGCTTAGCAAACAGCTCACCCTCTTTCAGCAGCATATCCCACTCGCACGTATAGAAAATGACCCTCTCCGGAATCCCCTCCGCCAACTCCTCATCCGTAGCCTTGCTAGGGGACAACCACGGATGCGCCAGCTTCAAACTCGGCGGATGCAAATACGACGCATCAAACAACGACGTCAGCATATCCGGCAGCGTCTGGTCAGGCCTCACCGAATTCGCCCTCTTCACAGCCCGCGACACAGTATAATCCGTAGTAGGATACCACGTGGCGGTAGCACGAATACAGTGGGCGGGGACATCCAGACCCGATGCCCGCACGGTCTTGAGATGCTCCGCCAGGCAGAGCGGGGCGGTAAGCGCGAGGTTCGCGCCGGCAGAGAAGCCGGATACCGCCAGCTTGAAGGGATCAATGTGCAGATCGCCCGCAAAGCGGATCACGTAGAGCAGCGCGTCCGCCGCGTCCTCGACGGCCACGGGAAAAGGGTTCTCCGGGCTGAGGCGGTAGTCGACGCTGACGAAGACGGCGTTGCAGTCCTCGAGCACGAACCGGGCGAAGCGCGCGTCGTCGGTGGCGCTGCCCAGGGTGAAGCCGCCGCCGTGGAAGTTGACGACGGCGGGGAATTTGGTGCCGCCGCGTGTGGTTGCTTGTTCGTACCCTGCGGGGGTGTAGAATTGGAGGGTAAAGCTGCCTTTGGTCTTGGAGATGGTGGACGGGATCGTCTTGGTGAACGACTGGTTCGGCGGGCGCGGAGGAGCAAGGAAGTGCATCGTCATGCCAACATATTGCAGGGATCTCCACCAGGCGGCCGAGATGCGGAGCCCGAGCCGGGACGGGGGTGAAGAGCCGAGAGCATCCTGCGCCGTTTCCAGCGGTTTCCTGTCGACTTCCTCCGGAGGTCTCGGGGCCGAAATCGGGATGACGGGAATGCCGTCTACTGTGGGGATCACCTTGGCCATGGCTGCAAATGGGAGTGGCTATAGTTACATTCAGTGGCTTCTGCGGCGTTGAAGTTTTGAAAGAAAACTTATCAGTTTAGAACTTAAGAAGTCCTTGAAAACGCGACTTAGAATTTGGTCAAGTGAGTGCAATAAGGCAAAATGACTGCCGGGCCATGACTTCAGTCAACACCCGTTCGCAGTTTGGATCTTCCGAGTCTTCAATTCGAGATTGGACGCGACGGGAGATGTTGGGAGCTTCTGCTCCAAGCAAACGGCGCTGATGTCACTGGCTTGAAGCCCCTGAACGCTAGGGAGCATGTACCGAGTGACAGGCGGGGCGACCCCACAGGGACAGAAGCTTCCAGGGACCACGATTGGTGCGGAGCAGAAGCTCAGGCGGGAATGTGGGTCTTGACGATCTTGGCTGGGGCCCGGCACTTAACTGACGTCACCCAACATGACGTAGGCACATCCCATGTTGTGCAGGACCCGCCAGTCGCGTTCCCAACCGGAGCAAAAAAGACTGCAAAGTGAGAATTCGATGACATACTAGCCGATGAATGAACGGCGGGTCGGGCAACTCGTGCCCCTGCCGAGGCCCCTGCCGACCCCCATGCGGCTGTTTTTCGCTGTGTGTTTCGCCCACTTGGGAAGCCGCGTCCTGAGCCATGGACAAGTTGAACCTGCACAGCGCGCCATCTTGAGCTAAACTGGGAAGATGCAAACCATGTTCCAGCCATATTAGCAACAGTTTTAACGCAAGGGCTTACGGTGGGCTAACAACCAAGTTCCTGTCGTGTGTGGCCAAGGATTCTTGAACCTTCCCACCCTTCGTATAAGCATTAATGTTTATTTGAGCCTCTCGCCACCTCCAGTTCCACCTTGACGCACAACCATTGCTTCCTCTGTTTCGCAACGGTGACTCTTGAGACGACAATCAGGGTTCTCTAATCTCAATCTTTAAAACCTTCATTGAGCACAAACTGTCCTGTGCAAACTTAATTGACACCCAGCACCCCAGCACTTTTATCCCCCACATCAGTCACCCGCAATGTCGCCGGGTGGGCTGAAGAAGCCGCTTCTGGCACTTAATCGCCTGATAGGAAATTCGTCGGCCAAGAACCACATCCACAAGCCAAATATTGGCAACATCGCCGCCCTCGACAACGACCGGCATGAAAAACAAGTCAAGAGGGCCCAGGAGCAGCGCATCAAGGAGGATGAGCGGGAAAATGAAAGGCGCTCGTTCCAGCAACGGCGCAAAGAGCAAGAAGAGAAGGCTCACGAAGAGGATCCTCCGGAGATCGCTGCACGATACGGCACCAAGACGGCCGACGTCGTTGCGAAGACTTCGTCAATTCAAGAGCTGGCGAGGAACCCCGACAATGCTGGCATGTCGGTCGACTTCATCGCCCGATTGCATCACGTACGATCGCTGAGCTCCAAGCTCGCCTTTATCATCCTGAGGGATCAGATCGAACTTATACAAGGCGTTCTGTCGTATAGGGAGGGCGAGGTTTCCGAAAACTTTGTGCGATGGGCGGAACATTTGACAACGGAGAGCTTTGTACACGTCCGGGGCAAGCTGCAAAGGCCTCCAGAGGAGATCAAGGGCTGCTCCATCCGCGAGCTTGAGGTCATGATCGACTCCATGCACCTTGTCGTTCCGGTCAAGGAGCACTTGCCCGTCGACGTCTTCAGCATAGACCAAGTCCAGGAGGACGAGGAGACGCATCAGCTCGAGTCGGTAGCCTCGACCAGAGTTCGAGTGATGAACCGCATTGCTTTCCTACGAACGCCAACGGCCCAGTCCATCTTCCGCATCAACTCAGCCATTTGCAGCATCTTCCGGTCGGTGCTCGAAGGCCACAACTTCATCGAGATCCACACCCCAAAGCTGATGCCCGCTGCCACAGAATCTGGCGCCGAGGTATTTCGGGCCAACTATTTCGGCCGCACCGCTTTCCTCGCCCAGAGCCCACAGTTGTCTAAGCAAATGAGCATATCAGCCGACTTTGCCCGCGTCTTCGAGATCGGCCCAGTGTTCCGCGCCGAGGACAGCAACACACACCGCCACCTGACCGAGTACACCGGCTTGGATCTGGAGATGGCCATCAACAGCGACTACCACGAGGCGCTGCGTATTATTGACGATCTCATGAAGAGCATCTTCAAGGGCATCTATAGCCGCTGCCGGAGAGAATTGGACATCATCAAGACGCGCTTCCCGCACGAGGATCTTGTCTGGCTGGACGAGACGCCGATCATCCCATTCAAGGATGCGGTAAAGCTCTTGAATGAGTCCGGCTGGACCGACGATCACGGCCATAAGGCCTCCGAGACGGAAGACCTCAGCACCCGCGCGGAGATTCGGCTGGGTGAGCTCATCAAGGAAAAGTACAAGACAGACTACTACATTATCGACAAGTTCCCCGCCTCGGTCCGGCCATTCTACACCCATCTCGATCCTGAGGACTCCAGGTTCACCAACTCGTTTGACATTTTTCTCCGCGGGCAGGAGATCACGACGGGCGGCCAGCGTATTCACGACCCGGAGGTCCTCATCGAGCGGATGAAGAAAGCGGGCATCGAGCCAGCTGGCATGCAGGAGTACCTGCAGGGCTTCGAGTACGGCGTTCTCCCGCATGCAGGATGCGGTATCGGCTTAGAGCGTCTGGTATTTCTCATGCTAAACCTCGGCGACATCCGCAACGCGTCGCTGTTCCCTCGAGATCCCAAGTCCCTGCCGGAACAGAAACAAGCCATCCTCCGTCTGCCGCATCCCGAAGCCGACACGATCCGTTTCGCGTACGACTACGAGCACGGCAAATCCAAGCTCGAAATGCCCCCCGTCGAGAAGCTCATCGCCAACTACGGCGACGCCACCAACACATCCTGGCTTGACGACCGCTACAAGGTCTGGCGCGACGAAGCCACAGGTGCAGCTGTCGGCTACGCCGAGGAGAACGGCTACGCCCTCGTCATGGGCAACCCACTATGCGACCCACGCCAATACCAGCCCGTGATCCGGTCCTTCCTCAAGTACCTGCGCAAGCAAAAGGACCTGCGGCCGCTCTGGCTGCTCGTCTCGCCCGAAGTCGAAGAAATCCTCGGCGGCAAGCTCGGCTGGCGCACGCTCAGCTGCGTGGCCGAGGAACGGGTGCCGATCGAATCAGCAAAGAAAGTAGCCAAAAAGGAGCGCCAGGCCGAAGACGCGGGCGTCACCATCCACGAGCAGCCCGTCGACCAGCCGGTACCGGAAGAGTTCCGCAAGCGCTGCGACGAGCGCATCCGCCAGTGGAAAGAATCCCGCAAGGGCTCCCGGCAGGTGCACATCACCGAGGTCCGCCCCTGGGTCGACATGGAACACCGCCGGTACCTCTGGGCCGAGACCAAGGAGGGCGAGATCGCAGCCCTTTGCGTGCTGCACCGCCTGTCGCCTGCAAATGGGTACCAGATTAAGTTTGCGTTGGATTTCCCTGGTTCGCCGTCGGGGACGATTGAGGCGCTCATTTCGGCCGCCATTCAGACGCTTGCCAAGGCGGGGGTGCAGAATGTCACGTTCGGTGCGGGCGCGTTGCCGGATATGGTGACGGGGGAGAATCTGGATGGGGTCAGGGCGAGGATTCTGAGTAAAACTTACAGGACGATTGCGCAGCAGTTGAAGTTGGTGCAGAAGAGCGAGTTTAGGGAGAAGTTTGGGACCAGGAATGATTTGGTGTATTTGTGTGCGCCGGGGATGAGTATCTCGGGGATTCGGTTGTTGATTCGGTTCTTTGAGGATGAGATTTGAGTTGATTCCATTGGGGTGGGGTGGTTGAGAGGGTGCCTACGGGCTTGGTTTGTTCCGCGTCTGGCTTTCTTTTGTTAGATACTCTACTCCTGCTGGTTAGTGTTGTGGTTGTCATATGAGTTCTCGAGCGGCCTACAAGGAGGATGGGGTGAAGCGTGGGGTTTCCTTTGGATATACGACATACCAGTACAAGTATCTAGATCCCCCTAATACCAGACTAGTAATCTAGACGCAGTCTTGACCTGGCTTTTGTGTCTCTATGCTCTGCCTGTAGGTCGTTGTGCAGTTGCTTGTGTCTGTAGCTCCCTGGTTACTTGTCCTGAGTTTTCCCTGTTCCTCCCCTGAGCTAGGGTGATCCCATAAGCGGTGGTCGCACAACCTCAAGAGACTTGATCCTAAACGCCCTTAATGTGACGAACAATCACATACGGCCAAAAGAACCTAATTTGGCATCTCTTCACTAAGCACAACAGCCGGAACCGCCCCTCGCAAAGACGGATCCCGCAGCGACTCGCTCAACCGCTGATACTCTTCCTCCAACTCCTCCTTCGAGGCGCCTTGCTTGGCCGTCTCAAAGTCGTGAAGCACACACCGGCCATCCTCCCGCATCATGAAAATATGCTTGTTAATATCCCCATGCTTGACACCGAGCGCATGCAACCTCTTTAGAACCTCTTGACAGGCCACGAGATCCGCCGGTCCCACGGCCCTGGCCTTGTCAATGTACTCTAAGACAAAGCCAATGACCCGGCCCTATTCAGTCAGATGGCCCAGGAACCGTGGACCAATGTCGCACCCCTCGATCCACTGGTACGCAGCAGTCTCGGATTCGAAGTAGGGTGTCTGCCAAGGGAATTCGGTGAATTTGATGACTACCGGGTCATTAAAAAGTGGGTGCGACACGATGTGGATGTTTTGGCGGAGACGGGCTAGTTTGCGGGGTTGCAGGTGGTCGATGGAGGTTGCGTGCCAGATGGTTTTGACGCCGGGGAGGTCGGCTTTTTCGGTGCGGAGAAAGACGGGCTTGCCGGTATCGCTTGTCAACGCCGACGTGGCCCGTGTTCCAGTCGCCGGGAGGGAATGGTGGGAGGTTGGCTAGCAACGTTGGGGCAAATGTCCGGTCGTCTTTGGGGAGGGTGCCGGGGGCCACGGTCACGTACTTGACGTGCGTGCCGTTGACGAGGAAGCGGTATTCGCCCTCTTCTTGGTCGTCGGGGTCCACCAGCGTTGTTAGCAGTTGGATGTTGTGGTTTTTGGTGGTCTCCATAAGTGGTAAAGTTCTGTGTGAGATCGAAGGAAATGGGCTGTCACTGTCGCGTTTGATGGACATTGGGATTTAATAAAAGAGCAGGGAAAAGCACCGAGACGCAGAAGTCGGATAGGTCTGTGGATGAGAGACACTGAAGAGGGGCTTTGACTGTGGAATTGACCGGTTTTCATTGGCGACGGCTTGCCGCTGAAAGCAATCCACTCTGCTTATGCTAGTTGTGCATTGCACCTAGGCACTAAGTGTTGCCAATACCACTCGGGCGGCAACCATCCAGGGTCGTCGCTGTCGCTGTCCCCGTCGCTGTCACCGTTGCTGTCACCGTCGCTGCCAGTGTCGCTGGTGCTGCTGCTGCTGCTGCTGTCGCTGATGTCACTGCTGTCGCTGATGTCACTGCTGTCGCTGCTGGTAGTGCTGCTGTTGCAGTATTTAAGGTGCTGATCAATGTCCTCCGGGCTGTACTGGATCCCGAAGTGCCTCGAAGGGTCCGAAGTGACAGTGTACCAACAGCCTGAACAATACAACCCCCATTCTGCCTTCTGGTCTTGGAAATTGAGGCGCGGCGCCGAGATAATTGACATGAACCGTCGAGGATCGTCTTCATAGAAGTCGATTGTGCTGTTCAGCAACTCAGCCAGCGCCTCAGCATCTTCGGGTAAGTTCACTAAGGCGAGTAAGGCTTCGCGGTCGAATAATGCCATCCTGCACTTGCAAAGTTTCGCTCTTGCCGTATAACGCCCGCGGAGACTCCGCACCACTGGAAGGCAGGACCCTGCTGGAAGGCGGCCGAATGTCTTCTTCCTCCGCTTAGCATGCCACATCGCGAGCGTCAGTAGAGTCTGATCGAGTACGACGGGGAAATATTCTTTCCTCGACGTGAAGCACAAGTAACAGACGCGTTTGCAGGTGATGAGGTAAAGGTAGCCGCCAAAACGACCGCAGGATTCGCATTTCTCCCTCGTTAGTGCCTCGAAGAGTGTTTCGCAACTGAAGGAGGCGGCGTCGATGCTGATCACAGCACGCAAAATATTGGGACACGACACCCATAGCCGTCGATATAGCGGAGTTTACTGCCCTGACAAACCACGGACACACTTTGACTGTCTTCCTCATGCGGTTCGAGGCGGTTTATTTTCGCTCCAATGCCGTGCTTGTACAATACACATGGTGACACACACCGTACAAGGACCTATACACCTCAAGTATGTTGGTTGTACCATTTATGTATGGGTATCTATTTTCTCATTTCTAAACACCAGGAAAGCATGTACCCGAGAATCAGGATAATATCACAAGTATCCGAACAAACCTCAAATGGAAACGGCACTCTAATAGTCTCTTTTGACAACCCTCTCTGCAGTGTCTACGCTGCCGGCCATGGCGACCCCTGCATATTTGTCCCCCGCTCGGCCATCCACAACTGCTTCTCCCGCCTTAAAGACCGGCGAACCCAGATGATGCTGATGGTGGTCCAGATGATCACGAAAATAAGGGGACTTCCCCACCCTGGAACAGCAGATGTCAGCACGACGGACAAGTCGACGAGATAAGAACACAACAAACGCCTGAACTCACCAACTCCGTAGGCCACCTTCTCCGGAACAGTCCAGATGACCACCAGAGTCCCAATCCCATCCACCAACGCGCCAACAGCCCAGAACCAGTTCTGCTGCGCAATCATCTTCCTAAACCGCGGACTGACCTCATACCTTGCCATCAAACTATTCCTGTACTTCCTCCCGCCTCCACCATCAACACCCACAATATCCTCCACAATAGTCAACACCATAGGCGGCACCCGCCCACCCTTAGGCACAGAACTCATCTTGCACGGCGCCGGACGGCGGGTGACATTCATCCACCCGCTCCAAAGTAGCATCACCCCCATCTGAATCAGAAACAACGACACCGGAATCGCCAGCGGGCGAACCAGCGGGTTATGCGGGATGGACGCGCCAATCAAGATACCCGTCATGACGGTGTACCCAAACGACAGCGTCCAGTGCGTAAAGTCAAAGCTCCAGCGCGTGCCCCCGGGCGGACGGTACTCGTCGCCCTTGAGAATGAGTTTCAGGCAGCGCAGGCCGAATTCGATGCCTGTTACGATGCCGAAGAAGGAGGTGATGATGGCGAAGACTATGCCGGGCCGGAGGGTGGTGGCGAGGGTTAGGCCGTAGTAGAGCGCGATGGGGAGGATGGAGGATTCGAGGACCAAGAGGAAGACGACGATGGAGAGTTTCAGCTTGTAGTCGAGGATTCGATAGAGCAGTCGCGGCAGGCCGGGGAGCTCGGCTAGCTCGCCTGTGGCGTAGGTGGTTGCTGTGAGGGTGGAGGAGATGGAGCCGCCTGTTGAGGGCGGCTCTTTCTTCTCTCTGTCGTTTGCCATGATGATGTTGTGAAGTGAGGCTTAATGGGGTGGAGGGACAGCGGTATCTGCTGACGCTAAAGAGATGAAACAATCGATTATAAGAACGCCAGTGGTTCCAGTTGAGGCCTGGGCGGGTTGTGACTTGCAAGTTGCTAACAGCAGCTCAAGTCACACGGTATGATGTGTGCCATGGCCGGCGCAGCGTAAACTCGATGCATAGAGGGAATCTGCATTCGGAAATGGAATACCTAATTCGACAAATATCTCTTGGCCTAAACGCCCAGAAAAGGCACTGGAACAAATGACGTTGGACAAAAAGCATTGATGAACAGACAGGGCAGGCGCGTTGCGTCAAGCGGTGATGTCATAAGTGGCAACTGACACATGTAAGTGGGCGATTGAGCAGGTGCATAACCCTAACCCGTGCCTCACCGACTTCCCCTGAAGCGTGTTGAGTAGCGGTTGATGATATCTCGTAGGATTAACAAAAACAAAAGGCAATTAACATTTAGAGACAATGACTGGAAGAAAGAAGCGTCAATTTGCTGCTAAATAGTAGAGTGTGGGAAAAAGACGACTACTAAGTTCCTGTAACTGGAACCTTACCTGAGGCTTACCTCACCATACAGACCGTCAAGTAGTGCTGAGGAACGCCCAGTAACTACATAAAATGAAATAACGTTGAAAGAAAAGCGACGACCTGATGAAATGCCTTGGGCATGGACTCAAATCCGCGGTATTCGTGCTGGTTCTAACAGCAAGCCGGCAACATCTGATCACCGCCCCAGCGAACCCTCATCCCCTCCCCAAACACCCTCGCAAGGGCATACTGAAACATCTGCAGCCCAGACTCACCATCATGCGCGCCATCCATACGCACATCCCCCTCCCAATCCCTCTCCTCAGCCTCCAGCTTGACAGGCACCATCTCCCACTTACCTAGCACCTCAAACCCTCCCCCCTTTTCATCAAACACAGCAACAGGCCTCTCCTCCACCCCAATCCCAGCCATGAACGGCTGCATGAAAACAGCCACCCTGTCCGCAGTCATGGCATACATGACCACGACAGAGCCAAACACCTTGGGCAAGAAATCCACGCACACGACGGAGTCGGGGTGCAGACGGATGCGCTGGCCTGCAGACACCCCGTTGGCGGATAGTTCGATCACTGCTGTGGATGTTTGGGGGCGCATGGAGATTGTGTGGACCTGGGAGTCGTGGTGGGAGCCGTCTGGGAGGAAGTGGTCGAGACGGATGGATAGGGCGTCGCGGTCGGGAGTGGTCGAGAGGGTGTAGAAGATTTGCGGGTGGGGTTGGTGTCGGGGGCGAGAGTGAGGCATGGTCACCATGGTGGTCACACCGGGTGTCGGGGGGCTTAGTGCTTAGTGGAAGGGAAGCGGTCACGGTCGCGGTCGCGAGGGAGTGCTACTGACTACTGTGCGTCTAGTCACTGACCTTACTCGGATCCGAGGACTTACCTTACCTTCACTGCGGTGGGCTGTGGTCTTTCGAACGTTCACTGTGCGAGGCGGCTGAGAAAGGAGTTCCGGTTCTGGGCTGCCAGGGTGGTTTAATATTGGTGAGATATGACATGGGTGATGAATAAGGGGCTTTGTCGACATGGAGTACTAACTAAAGTTATGTCAGCTAGCTGAGCGTAAGCGGAGAAAAGGGGCATTGTAACTTTTGACTTGATTGTTCTCACAAAGACAAGACATGTGGGATGAAATGTAAATTGGTCACAATGCCTTTCAAGACTGGAGACTGTGCTTTGTATTTTGGCCTGTCCCAATAGCCCCTGAACAACCCCTATACCGCAGTCCGAACACAAATGAGCTATCACCGTCTCAACAGCCTGCCATTCACCTGTACATCTTCCCTCCTAGTCCCCCTAACCTGCCCATCTACTCCACCATCGCTGTGGGAGCGCCATAGCGAATAAGATCCGCAGCCTGCCAGTCGCAACAGATGTCAGCAAAAAGCACACCCCCTATCCCAAACAAAGAATAGACATACCTTCTCAGCAACCGCATAAACAGTCTGACAAGTATTCGCCCCGGGCAACGTCGGCATAACACTCGCATCCACCACCCTGAGTCCCTCCACTCCATAAACCCTCAACTCCTCATCCACCACCCCTCCCAACTCCCGCGGCATCATGGCACACGTCCCCGCAGGATGAAACTCACTCGGACTCAGCGTCGCCTCCAAAAACGTCCTAAACTCCCCATCCGTTTGCACCGCACTCCCCGGCTGGCTCTCCCTCCCCGCCAGGCTTGCGGTAAGCGGGTTATCAAGGTAATATCTCCGTGTAAAGCGAATCAGATCCGCCATGATCTGGGCATCCAGCGGGTTCGATAGCGCGCGGTAATCAACCACCGGTTCCCTACCCTTTGGATCCCTCAAATCGATATTGACAGTCCCCCTGCTAAGCGGGTGCAGGTCGACCAAGATCCCGTTGCTCGCGCCACCCGTCAGAACTAAATTATAAAACGCGGTGTTGTTATTTGCCAGGGCAGAGGCATAAGAAAGCATTTGGGCGCGGTAACCCGCTGCGACGGAGGGGTCGGTTCCCGGGGGGAGGTGGGCGGTGTGGTTTTGGGTTGTGAGGAGGTGGGAGATGTCCTGCCAGCGCGGGGAGATTACTGGAAAGGGCAGCCAAGCGGCTGCGTTGCCGGTTGCGATGGAGTTGGGGCCGGTGCGGTTGGTTTGCCAGAGGGTGGAGGACCAGGTCGAGAAGGTGCGGTTGGTGTAGAGGTCTTCTTGGGAGGGGTTGAAGGTGGAGGTGAAGTTCCGGACTGCGAGTAGGTGGCAGGTGTGAGTGTGAGTGGGCTGGGGAGGGCGGGTGGGAGGGGGGAGACTTACACGTGAAGGAGGCTGAGATCATGGGGTGGTCCTGGAAGTTCTGCCCTACCCCGGGCAGATCAACAACGGTGGTAATATTTGCCGACGCAAGCAGCTTGCTGGAACCAATACCACTCAGCTGCAGGATTTGTGGACTATGCACGGCACCTGCAGCCAGAATAACCTCCTTCCTGGCTCGCACCACCGTCTCCAGACCCGGGTTAGCCATGGGCCGGCCGGGACCGACCTGGACAAAAGCTACCCCCGTTGCCGTGGTTCCGTTGAGCAGCACTCGAACAACCTTGGATCCCGTGGCGAGATGGTAGTTTGCCCTGTTCAACCCGTCATAATGACCAGTCCGGGCATACGACCGCAACACCCGCTTAGGATCCATAAACGTCGGGTACCAATACACCCCGGGCTTACCCGACCCGCTGTCCGGCGCAAAAGGCACCCCCGGCAGGCCTCGGAAGGCCTCCATGTGGAAGGTCGTGCCGGGATACTGGAACGAGGGCCAGCCGGCGTAGACGCCGGATGTGTTCCCCCAGAAGCGGGTGTCGTAGGTGATATTGGCCGATTTTGTCACGTCTGCATCCGGAGGCACGAAGTTGAGGGCGCGCTTGAAGTAGGGCAGCAGACCTTCCCAGCTCCAGTGGGAACTGTTGCTGAAGAAGCTTCCCCAGCGATCATAGTCCTCAGCGGTCCCGCGGACGGTCATCATGGCGTTGACTGCAGAGCTGCCGCCCACTACCTTGCCAGCGAGAACAGCCGTGGTGCGGTTGCGCAGATTCACCTGCGGCACCGAGGTTATGTCGTAGAGCAGGGATGTGTCCGACATGCCCATGAACCCGCCCTGTACTGTCGTGATGGAGGTCGAGTTGCCTGTGGAGGCTCAGTATTACTAGGACATTTAGACTTGGTGGTGTGAGTGATGGAAGGCCTACTCAGTTGGCCGTATTCCAGCACAAGCACCGTGGTCTTGCCATCCTCGGTCAGTCGATCGGCCACCGTGAGCCCTGCGGTCCCGCCGCCCACAATGACATAGTCGTACTCGCCCTCCACCTGCCGCGCGTTGTGGAATACCTTGGAGGCGCGGAGATCTCGAGCGGACGCTGGAGAGTAGGACTGGGTTAATGTCAGGGCTGCGACGGCGAGCGTGGAGAGTCGACACATCTTGACGATCAGCAGACGGTGAAATGCTTGGTGTACGGGTACCTGAGCTGATGTAGGAATGCACAATGGCTTTGGCAAGCCATATTAACAGTTGGATTCAAGGCTTCGGATCAAGTGCCGAATGGGTCTCTCGTCAGTGAGTTGACCCCTGAATAGCCTGAAAACGCTGTGAGCATGTGTTGATCGACGAGTTGGTACGGAGACTGGGTAAATGAACGGTTGTACGAGGGATCGAATAAGAGCAAATCAGCCCTACATTGAAGGTCCCATAGCTATTTAAGATACTTTCAGATGTAGGAGATCTTGGTAAGGGGTGTGGTCCTGTCAGCTGGTTACACTTAACTCGATTAGCCGCGCCGGGCCATATCCCACTGGTTACCTTCTGCGGGGCGTTTATTAAGTGCTAGCTAAGACCCGGCTCGGCGATCGGAAGGCATCTGCACCAAGGCTGGACCTCTTGAGTGGGAAAGATGAGGTCGGCCGTTGACAAGACATGGACGTCTTGAGCCAAGCTGAGCAGTCGGGTCTTAGCATGCTGAGAATCGATGATCCAAGGGTCACTAGTTCCTGACCCGGACTGATGCTTAGAACAAGACACAACTGGGCTTCATTAAGGGGCTAGTGCTAACCTGGCCCGTATGTAAGTACTCGATAATAAGGTGTCAGTGTTGATGAATACTAACGCCCGGCCCTGATCTCGCAAACCCATAACCCTGATATCCTGACCATGAATCCACCGTTAGAAGACGCCGTCTCATTACTGCCTCCCAAAGAATCCCGAATGATGCCAACAATGTCCCACAAATATATCCCATGTCAAATATGACCGCAACGCAAACAGTTAAAGGGAAAGGGGACTGACTGCAGTGCTCTGGCACTAGCAGATGTAACCTCCTGCGCCAAACTCCCAGCTAAATCCAAACCAACAAACAAGAAGCCCAATGTCACACCTATATGGAAACCCTCAAACCGAACTACCCTTACTACTCCCAGTCACCTGCTCCCCGACCGAATTCAGCGCCGGCGTGGGCGGGCGTATGCCCCTGAACCCCAACCTCTTCAAGCCCCTCTCAACCGGACCCCGTAGTAACGGAGCGCAGGCGGCAATGATGATGACCGACTCCTCGATCCGCGACCAAAACATCTTGTCGACCATGATATAAAACCCGTCCGACGACGCAAAGTCAAAGACTATGGTGTAGTACATCTTTGCAATGACGACGCCGCTCGCAACCAGGCACGCCGCCAGCAGCGCGAAAGTCAGGACTTTTTCGACGGTGCTCCGTGTCAGGGATTTGATGAGGATTCCGGGTATGATGGCGCAGATGAGGTCGGAGGCGAATGCGACGGCTGTTTGTTCCAGTCGGTTAGCACATGTTGAGGAGAGGTGGCCGGGGAAAAGGCGCAGGGAGTATGTACTCACCGTTATTAGCATGTGAAAACCACACCACCTGCGCCGGGGTCAAGCAGTTCGTGTTCTTCAGATCAATCATGCTCGATAAGCTCGACTGGCACTGGGCGAACTGGAAGGCAATGTAGATGAGCATGTTGGCGGCCTGGATGAAGATGGACCCGTATATCAAGATCCGCCATCGCCGGTCCAGCGTCACCTGGAGCAACAAACACCCGATGGATATCCTTGCGAAAGACGTTGCGATCATGCTCAGGATGTAGATGATGAACAGGTATGTGTTGACCGTTGCCCGCGCCGAGCGGTCCACGTGGACGGCGTGCTGGCCAAACCCGAGGTGCACGCATGCCGTGACGAGGCCCATCGATGCTGTCTTGGAGAGCTTCAACAGAGCACAGGTCAGCCTCAAGTAGATTTAGAGACCTGGACGGGGGTGTTCAGTTAGGGAGGAAGCCTACCACGGCGATGGTGATTGTATAATCGGCCGCCGTCAGCGCAAACTTGGGTCTCAACCGTGACCACAGCCGGACGGAAAAGGCAATGAGCGTAATGGCGTGCAGCGTCCAGAGCGTCGCCATCAGCATCGGGCCCTTGTTGTCGCTGGCCGCCGGCTGCTGCTCCATGCTGGGCGCGGGTCGCACATGCTATCCGACGAACAACAAACTCGTATAACTTCACCACTGCTAGGATGTATTATAGTGTAAATCAAATTCAGATCTGGAGGAATCAACTCGGCCGGGTACGGTTCCATTTGCTCGGGGAGAGGTGGGCCTTTTTCACAAGATGTGCCGCCGCTATCATCTGCCCTGGGCAGGGAGATGCCTGAGGGGAGATGAGGGCCAGTTCGATCAATTCCAACTGTCTGCCGCCCAGAGACTGGACTGAACCCGGCAAACCGGGGGGCCGGGGCTTGCCGCTGCCCGCTACCCGGTGGTGTTTCTCCTCTTGGGTTGATCTGGAGTCTGGACCGGGGAAGCAGGGGTGCTCTCCCGCCTGGCATCACACACACATGCACGCTTGACCGATCGGTGAGCACTGAGCACTGAGCAGGGGATGGCCAGTGGTCTCTCCCGGGGACCTTCAGCGCGATTCTCGAACATCACTCGCGACCTTATCAAAAAGCCACACAATCTCCAGCGGGAATTCCATTATTTCTGCGCGCAAGACATGGCGTGTTAGCATGTTCACTAGTGGAATTAGTGTCTCAACCAAGCCGGGGCTCGAGCCGGTGAGCTGGAGAGCCGGGATTATCACGACAAGGCACCCCTGATTCGCATTTTGTAGGATTCGACTAGTCCGCATCCGGGAGGTCTTGAGACGCACCGGATCCTTCTACCGGACATTCCGGGGTAACTGCGCGGCTGCGTTTTTTGCGCGGCGGGGGGGGTGACGGTTTTTCCAAACATCGCAGGTCTTGGATGGTGATGGTGATGGGTGAGTTGACTGGCGGCCGCAAGCAGTTCGAAAACACAACAGGCAATACCCCTGAACCCCTGCCCTTCCTGCGCAACAACAAAATATTGAAACACACACAACTCAACGCCATTCTCTGATGATGATATCAGCGGCCTAAAGACCCTGATTAGTCCAACACTCTCTTCACCATCCAGTGCACATTGATCACTCACCTTCTCCCCCACCGCATAAGCCAACGCACTCAAATGACTACTCGGCAGCACCGGCAGCACGCTCATATCCACCACCCTCAACCCCTTCGCACCATGCACCTTCAAATCCCCCCCGACCACACCCCCCTCCTCCCTCGGCATCATCGCCGCCGTACAGCACGGATGCATAAACGAATGCACCAACCCACTCTTGACATACTCCAACAACTCCTCATCACTCTGCACCCCCTCCCCCGGCGTGACTTCCACCGCGCCATACGCTTGCAACGCCTCCGTCTTGACCATGCCGCGGAGAAATCTTGATTGTGCCAAATAAACGTCAAAGTCGACCGGATTACTCCCCGTGCCATACACCAGCACCGGCTGCGCCAGCAGATCGGTCAGATTCAACCGCACCGTCCCACGACTCACCGGATGAAGATTAATCGCCCGCAGAGCAGTCCCCGTCTGGAAGGTCGTCTCTTGACTCGGAGCGCGCGGGTTAGCGAGCAAGTCGGCTATGATGCGCAGCTGCTTCTGATACCCCGCGACCATGCGCGGGTCGGATCTGTAGTCGTCCGGCAGATAGGACGCCGCGGCCACAGTTCCGTTTCCGTCGGCGGCCGCCATGGTACGGAGTTTGTCAACGATGGAAGTATAGTTGGCGGTGATGTTGGGCAGGGGCACAAAGATGGCGCTGTTGGGGTTGGCAAGGGTGTAAGGGCCGTAGGCGGGGACAGAGTTGAAGCCTGCTACCGCGTCGGCGAGGAAGGCGGGGGAGGATAGCATGTCTGAGGGCATCGGGGTGAAGTTGCCGGGTTTGGTGTCTGAAGAAAGGCAGTAAGTGAGGGGGTGGTTGGGTTAGTGAATGGTGGATGAAGAAGGGGAATGAACGTAAGGGGGTAATAAGCACTAACAGTTCCAGGAGATGCCCGACCCGGAGTGGTCCTGCAAATTTGACCCAACACCAGGGAGATCCAGCACCACCGGGATCCCGGCAGCGCGGAGGACTGGGGCATGGCCAATGCCGCTTCTCTGAAGGATGGCTGGCGTGTGGAAAGTCCCTGCCGAAAGAATGACCTCCGCCTTGGCCCTGACGTTGAAGAAGGTGTTGTTGCTCAGGGACCGGATCTCCACCCGCGGCGGACCGGACCGGGTGTTGCCATTGGGGTACAACACGCGGGTGACTTGATGGTTGACAAGCAGGTCATAGTTTGGCCGTGTGAGGTTGACGTCGGCGTAGTGGCCGAGCCCGGCGTACGAACGACGGGCCGTCACGGGGTGCTGCGAGGTCGGCACCCAGCAGAGGCCGTCTTTGTCACCACCAGCACACTCCTGGCGCGTTCGTACACCCGCCTGAGTGAAAGCGTTTCGCCCGAGATAGTAGTCGGCCCACTGATACGGGGGAAAGCTGGCGTGGATGGGTGTCGTGTTGCCATACGCCGACTCGTCCCAGGTATACCCATACTGTTGGGCAACCTCAGCCGGCGGCGGTGTGAAGGTGACGCTCTGAAAACAAAGTCTTGGTCAGCCTTCGGTTATAATCCTCCGTCACCACGCAATGTTTCTTACCTTCTTGAAGAACGGGAACACCCCGTCCCAGTTCCATCCGTTCTTGTTCTTCCCGTCACTACCGGTAGCAGCCGCTGCCCACGCATCCAGGTCATAGCGGGAGGGCCGGTCAAAGAACTGGGCATTCACAGCGCTGCTTCCCCCTACAACCTTGCCGGCCAGCACAATGGCTGTTCTGTTGTTGACGTGGGGAGTCGGGAGCGACTGGAAGCTGAAGTAGCTGGCAAGGAAGCCCTGCCCGCCCCAGACTGTCGACGGAGGGTCCCACAGACCGGCCGCATATTCGATTTCGCCGTACTCGACGACCAGGACCGTTTCTGTACAGCCATGTCAGTGACCGGTCAGGAGGTTCCCAGGTCTTGCACGAGACTTACTATCTGGGAATGCTTCTGTCAGGCGATCGGCGACAGTCAAGCCGGCTGTGCCTCCCCCGGCGATGATGAAGTCGTATTGTGGGCGGAGCTGCGAGACCTGCCGCTTGACTTTGCCATGGGGTAAAGCGATCGCCAGCCCGGCAAGGGAGGCGATGACGGCGCCTGCGAGCATCATCAATGGCAACCGGTCAACCGGATGCAGTGGAGTTCCAGTAACCGTACGTAAATATGTGAGGTGGGCTGCCAGTCAGTGGACGTCCCTCAGTTCCCTCGTGAAGAAAGTCAATTCTCATGAGCAGATAGTAGGACCTGGCACGCAGTAACCTTAGGGTGCTTACCTCCTTAGCTTATATCCCAACGGTCAACCCCTCTGCTGCCCTCGCCATCCTCCGGACGGCTGGTCCAGACGACCGGGACCCTTGGCGCGGAACTGCCACATGTGGACTGAATTCAGCACGTTAACCCTGGTTGGTGAAGCCGGTTTCCGGCTCGGTGCTACGCTACAAACAGCGGCATGCATGGAAGCTATTGAGCCCCGCAACTCTACCCCGGCACTCAGGACAAGGACGGTCAGGGACCTTTTGCATGTGTAGAACTTGTTGATACTGTAGAGATTTGGTTATGATTCAGCGCCTGGGAGGTATTAGTCTTCTATGAGTATCGAGAATTTAATAAGTCACTCTTATAGATCCGTCAGCTACGCTCACCTTTGCTTGGAATGTAGGCCAAGTGTTTGTGCTACCTTGCCCCTATCCCCAAGGGCTTCGAGTGGAGAACCAGGATGAAGATCCTCCCAAATTTGTCTACACTTCACTGCGCCAATGTGTACGAAGTATATCAGCACATGCACTAATGAGAATACGGAGACGTGTAGCTGACATATTGCGGTCACGATGTCATCCTTCATTATACCCCTCGTCCTAGACCAAGTTCGGACCTACGGTACGGATTGGGTTGATGGGACCTTCTAAGCGTTACATTCCACTCGTGGCTGGGTTGAGCCCCCTGTAAGCCATTGTGTACCTACCCTAGGGCATGGCTTTTGCTTTAACCATGAGCTCCAAGTTCGTTCAAGTTGCTAAGAGACAAGCAAAAGGGGTTTATATTTACATAGGTGTTGCTTGATGCTATTCGGTTGTATCACTGAGGTATATTTGAGCAGCCGAGCGTGCGATTCGGGACTGATTCAAGAATCGTGGCCCTGCCGCCCTGGTCAGATATCCTGGCCGAACCGTACATGATACCAAACAGACCAATATGAATCCGTCAATAAGGCTACAGCACTGAGAAGTGCGAGGTGATGACAGGCTTGAAGCAGACGCTTGGTCAGGTTTGTCATCAAGTGCCATGATCACTGTTACTAAGCCAAGTTCAGGGGCACGTCAGCGAGCTGAGCAGTACCTAGGTAGGTACTCGGGGATGAGTACCATAGGCCGAGCTAAGTCCAACGATATTACTAACTCCAGTCAAACGCTAACACGCGTGAAGACGGACCTGCCATCGAGTCACTTCACTGGATCCAAGGTCATACTTCTTAAGCGTCTGACCTTGAGAGGCTTCTCATCCATCATCGCGAACCGTTACTGGTTTACGCCTCCCTTTGTGTCAAAGAAGCAACGAGCACATCCAGTCTGTATCTCGGGAGTCCCACACACCAACTACCCATGAGATAGAGTTTATTTTTTTTTTGGCCAAGCAACCAGTTCGTCCACGACGAGGCTTATCCGTGTTTCTCAGAGGCCAAGTCCACCTCCCCTAGCACATCCCAAATCCAACTGCCGACGAGCACGTCCCATAACCCCCAGGCGGAGAGTCAGTTTCAAACTTCAAGCTTCATCATACATCGGCTAGAGCTCAATGATCGACGCCAGGGACGAGCACTCACCACAGACCCGAACAAGTCAAAACTCTATGCAGCCCCTGAAGCAGTCAACAATTTACCCTCACATTCTGCCTATATCGAGCTCACGCCAGTATGGCTGGCCTCGCTGGGCCAGCGCACATTATTTGTGCTACGTTTTCAGGAATACCCAGATTCGCGAATCCGGGAAACGAGGAGCTCCTTCATATTGTGTCGCATAACACTCTCGAGGATCATCATGCGACAGTACCGAAGACGGGTCGTTCCGGATCCGTCCACAGAGATGGTTCGTCGACCGCAGTCGACTGTCATATATTCATATCGTGTAGTTCCTCATCTGCAACCTGCCAGGCGATGTGACTCCACGTCAACGACCGATTCAGCTCCCTAGCCACAGTCTCACCACACCTAACCAGAAAAACCTGGAAACCAGAACCCAACCATGTCACCAACAAGCCCACCCCGTCACCACATGCTCTCAGTCCCATCCGCCCTCCTCACGCTCTTATCCACCGCCACCCTCCACATCCCCTCATCAACCGCTCAACAAATCGGCAACCTCACTCCCGAAATCCACCCCCTCCTCCCAACCCAATTCTGCAATTCCACCGGGGGGTGCACCACCCTTAAAACCTCAATCGTCGCCGACGCACTAAACGGCGCGCGCCCCTTCCACTTAGCCTCCGACCCCTCCATCTCCTGCAGCAACCCCCTAACCCTCATTGCCACGAACACCACCCCCTCCGAGTCCCTCTGCCCCTCGTCCGAGTCCGACCCAACCACATGCCTCGCACGGAACTGCGTCCTCGAAGGCCTCGACTACGGCAGCATCGGCGTCGCGACGCGGGGCAGCGCGCTCACGCTGCGACAGTACCTGTTCAATGGCGAGCAGTACGAGGCCGTCAGTCCGCGGGTGTATTTGTTGGGGGAGGATGGGGTGAATTATGCAGGGTTGAGGTTGCTGAATCAGGAGTTGAGTTTTGATGTGGATGTCTCAAGACTGGGGTGTGGTATGAATGGCGCGCTGTATCTGAGTGAGATGAGCGTCGATGGGGGGAGGAGTGCCAGTGAGGGGGTGAATCCGGCGGGAGCGGAGTATGGGACGGGATACTGCGATGCGCAGTGTTTTACAAACGTGCCGTGGATTAATGGACTGGTGGGTTCCCCGTCATACTACTAGTATGACATCTCCCAGGGCGAGGGGTGGTTTTGCTGACGGATAGTATCCCAGCCCAACCTAAACTCCTCCGGCGCCTGCTGCAACGAGATGGACATCTGGGAAGCCAACTCCCTTGCCAGCGTTTTCACACCACACACCTGCAGCAGCCCCGGCTCCTTCCTCTGCACCGGCGACGAATGCATCCGCACGCCCACCGGCGGCTCCGGGGTCTGCGACAAAGACGGCTGCGGGCTCAACACCTTCGCCCTCGGCGTGCCCACATTCTACGGCCCCGGCACGGGCCAAACAGTCGACACCTCCCGCCCGTTCACCATCGTCACCCAATTCCTTACGAGTGACAACACCTCCACCGGCACCCTCACCGAGATCCGAAGACTATACATCCAAGACGGCAATCTGATCCCCAACACAGCCGAAACAACCAACCCCGCCGTGCAAGCCATGCCAGGCGGCTTCAAGGGCGCCGTGACGCAGGACTACTGCTCCGCGCGGAACACGTCAGATTTTCTCCGTCTCGGTGGGATGGCTGGCATGGGGGAGTCGCTTGCGCGGGGGATGGTGCTGGTCATGAGCATCTGGAATTCGCCGGGGGACTTTATGAGCTGGCTTGATGGCGAGGGCAACGGGGCGGGGCCGTGCAATGCCACTGCGGGCGATCCGGCGCGGATTGTGGAGCTCACGCCGGATGTGGCTGTTACTTTTTCGAATATTCGGTGGGGGGATATTGGCTCGACGTTTAACCTGTCTTCGTCTTCGTCTTCGGGGGCGGATGGGGGGGATGTTGTCGCGAGTAAGGTGGTTACTGCGGAGTCAGGGGCTGGGTTAGCTACGGGGCAGGCGATGGGGTTGATGACGGGCGTTGTGGTCGGTTTGGCGGTGATGCTTGGGGCGTTGCTGGTGTAGAAAATTCCGGCACGGCGGCAGGACCCTGGGCTGGTTTATGTACAATAGAAAGAAGAGTAGATTGCTTGTAACGTACTCAGATTCCCTTTGCTCTAATGCACCATGGAGTATGACCTCTGCAGCCTCTATAAATCCCCCTTTCAACCGGACATGACCCTGCTCAAAGCCTCAAAGTTTATTCCGCAGCTCCTGCCCAGCCAGGAACTTCCTCAAATTCTCCACAATCAACTGCTCTGCCCCCTGGGGCCTGCCTCCGGCAGCATGAGGCGACAGAACCAAATTCGGCGCCTTCCAAAGCTTGCTCTCCGCCGGCAACGGCTCCGTCTCAAACACATCCAGCGCAGCGCCCCCAATCCTCCCCTGTTCCAGCGCCTCAAACAACGCGTCCTCGTCCACCGACGTGCCGCGGCCCACATTCACCACCCACGCATGACGCGGCAGCATTGCCAACCTCTCCTTATTCAGCGCATGCCTCGTCGACGGATCCCCAGGAAGAATCATCACCAGCGCATCCGTCCGCGGCAGCAACTCAGGCAACTTCTCCTCGGCATACACCTCCACACCACCTCGAACCCCAGCATGCCTCGCGACACCCTTCACCTCGGCTCCAAGCGCAGTAAGATACGGGGTCAGACACTTGGCAATATTCCCAAACCCCCAAATCAACACCTTCGCATCCCTCAACGTTCGAAAAGTCCCCTGCTCCCGATCCGGCTGCGGCCCTCCAAGATGACCAGGCCACTCGCCCCTCAACTGAAAATCCCGCATCTCATAGAATCTCCGCGCGGCATTGAGCAGCAGACCCAAGGTATGCTCAGCAACAGTGCGGTCGTGCAGGCCAGAGCCCGTCGTGATGGCGCGCACCTTTGACGTGTCAAACCCGGCGGCAAGCACGTCGTTGGGCCCCGCGGCGAGCGACTGGATCCAGGCCAGCCGCGGCATGTTCTTCGCCGCAAACGACAGGTTCGCCGCCGAGTTCGCCCATGTTACTAGCACCTCGGCGTCGAGCAGCTCGGCGGGGATGGTCGGGGCTTTGGCGTCGTACTGGTGCAGGGTTACGGTGGGGAAGCCGGACATGGACTCGATGTCGAGTTTTAGGGTGTTGGGGTAGAGGAGCTTCATGATGGCGGTGGAAGGGGTGGTTCAAGGAGTTGTTTGGCAGGCAGTGTCAGAAGGTATCAAGTGTAGGTATTGGGAGTCGACTGAGACGGTGTTTGGTTGTGGTGCTGGGTGTTGAGGGGTTGATGAACTCGGGAGGAACTCGGCTGGCGGGGCAGAATACCCCGGCGGGGAAGGTCAGCGGAGAAAATAGCATGTGGACCCCTCTGTCGGCTCGAGTCGCGGGTTATTGTTTCCGTCTGTGGAAGTGCTGTGAAGCCGCCGAGCACTGCAAACCTGCCTCGCCTGTCTGATGGTTGCGAAGTTATGGTCCTTCTAGCTGCGGCCAAAGAATTGCTCGCGACTTGTTGCATTGAGGTCCATTCTCGCCGGGAAAGAGGTTCTGGGGTGGTCAACGCCCCAAGCCATACTGGATCTTAACTCCTGGTGTCCAAGAATTTGTAGGTAGAACGTTAAAAGTGACTTTGGCAAGCTGCGACCCGAGCGAACGAGCCAGAATAATAAACGGAGCCCAGGACGCTTGCGAATTGAAGACATTTCGACAACAGATTGAGCCGAGCGAAAGGGCTCCAATGCGCTGTAAGGATGATCGACAGGGGCAGCAGCACTGCACTGCACTCAGCTGCACAGTGGCAGAGTTTGTGCCGAGACATGCCCACTGTGCTGGCTTGGCACTTCACGGGACTCGAACTTCTCTCCTGCTGTGAGATCTTCCCGGTTGCTGTGGCATGATCCCGTGGTGTGCGTTTTGTGTTAATCCTCTTACGGGTTTCATAGTTGAGATGAATAGAGGATTGGTTTTTATGTGAAGGTGAACACTAGATCTAGGCCACTGTATGAGTCTATAAGACAGGCGCCCTGAGGGTTGAAGTGGGGCAGCGTCTTTGCAACCCCGCGTTCCCGATATCGCGCTTCAAGATTTTCGCATCACACCTGCGCAGAGTCACAGCTTTGAAGGCTAGAGCTCTTGTCTGGGAAGTTATACTTTCGATTCACCAGTTCAAGGGATTATTGTTTCCGATTTGTTTATTCTGGACGCTTCGTGCTCGACTGCCCGGTGACTCGCGCATTTTCGACTCTGCTCGCACCGCCGACGAGGTCCATCATTCACACAATGGCATCCGATCCAATTACATCCATCAACCTCACCTCGCTTCCAAAGGTGTCCCAAGGCAAAGTCAGGTACGCAATTGGACTTGGGCAGCGGGTGTCTGGTGTTGCTCGTCGTTCCGCTCTCTCCTGCGAACAGTCTTGGAAGATGGATCCCATTTACAACGCGATTTCCGAAAACCAATCATGCTTTCTGCCGAACCTTAAACTGACCCCTGGATTCTACAGAGACCTCTTCTCGCTTCCAGAAGATGAGAAGCCCAGACTTCTCTTTGTTACTTCAGGTGCGTCCGGCTGTCCAACCATCACTTTGTCTCTGCTAACACGCGATTGTCAGATCGTATAAGCGCCTATGACGTCATTCTCAAGGTCCGCCATGCTCACAGACACGGTCAGCTTTCAATGCATGCCCATTCCGCGAGGCTGACATTGGTCCCAGAGCGGCATACCCTCCAAGGGCATCATCTTGACTCTCCTCTCAGCAAAATGGTTCGAGGTGCTCTCATCCCGGGTCCCCGGCTTGAAGCATCACTTCCTTCATCTTGGCCCACCGTCTGGCGTCGTTACACCTGACGAGGCACAGATGCTCCAAGGGCGTTCAATGACCGTCCGGTATGTGGTTTGGGCTGAGGTGTGATTATCAATGGTTCAAAACTCATAAAGTCCTGGCAGCCGTCTGAAGATCTTCCCTATCGAGGCCATCGGCAAGTACCCATGTTCATTTCTAGAGGACAACCGTCTAACATTGGCTGAAAGTGCGTGGCTATGTCACCGGAAGCGGCTGGGCAGAGTGAGTGCGACAATCCATCTATATGCTTCAACGTCCTGACTCCCCCATAGGTACGAAAAGAACCAAACAATCCACGGTCTTCCTCAGCCAAGCGGGCTGGCTCGGTGCGAACGGCTCCCCGAGCCGATTTACACCCCTTCAACCAAGGCAGAACTCGGTGAGAAGGACATCAACATCTCCCCTGACGAGGCCAGGAAGATCGTCGGCGACAAGTATGCCTCGCGCATCGAGGAACTAGCCCTGGCATGCTACAAGGCGGGGGCCGCGTACGCAGAGGAGCGCGGGATAATCATCGTCAGTTCTCACGCTACATGCTCGCCGGGATTTTGAAGCACTGACGCTATGCCAAACAGGCGGACACCAAGTTTGAGTTCGGCGTCGACGAGGAGACGGACGAAATCTACCTTGTAGATGAGGTTCTGACGTGAGTATTAGACAATCACTCCATGTGGCTCTGGAGCAATGCATATGGAACAGTTTCTCTCCAGCTGCCCTGTTAAACAGCTTTGATACTGACTTGAAAATGCCCAGGCCCGACTCCTCCCGCTTCTGGAGCAAAGCCGACTATCAAGGTACGTATCCTGTATCCTGCCTTATTAAGCACTCTCAAAGATGCTGACACAACTTGCAGTCGGACGGGAACAGGATTCTTGTATGTGTGGCTGTGCTCCGCGCAATTTCAAGACTTCGTGTTTGAACCGCTCTCTAACCCGCAACAGTCGATAAGCAGGTGCTGAGGAACTGGCTGGTCGATAATGGGCTGGTACGTACAACGCCCGTCCTCAACGATGCAGCCACGCAGAGCTGCGCGCTTTTCCCTATCAGAGATACTAACGTTCGCGAACAGAAGGGAAAGCCAGATGTGGAGATGCCCCCAGAGGTTGTCAACAAGACAAAAGCTCGCTATACTGAAGTGTACGAGCGGCTAACGGGCAGCACCCTTGAGGAGGGGCTTGCAAAGTTGGCTGCCTAACTGTTCCCACGAGCGGTCTCTGTGCGCGAACAGTGGCCGGCAGTCCTCTACATGGGTTTGGAAGCTCAACGGTGTCTTGTTGCGGCTCACTTTGCAGACGGAGTGCATGGGCCTCCTTACGTGAGGAAGAGCATTGGGCGGATCGTGGGATGATTGGGTGCTTACGGAATATGGGGGGTGAACGTACTCGCATTCCTCGGGTCCTACCAAGTTGGGATGCAGGGGTCTACACCAGCCCGGTTTCGCTCTCGGTTTCCAGAGCTCTAGAGCGAGAGCAATGGACTATGAACGGTATGTATAGGTATATGCGGATCTAGGTCTCTTCCTCAAGATTTCATATTATGAGGTCCAGTCAACCTGCAGGATTTGCATCCGGCTAGAGCACCCGGTTTGGGTATCTTCCCCTTTTCGTATACACTTCTTGGAGGTGACTTGTGCTGCCATGGTGCTTGGAATACGATCAAGTCGAGATCATGGATACCAAGCGTTCGTCAAAGTCATGATATGACGCGCGATCCTCCCATGAAGTCTTCTCCTGATCCTTGAAGGACATGCTTATAAGCTTATTTTCTTCTCTACGGAAACACAGGAAAGCCCGGAAACCAACCACTGTCAGAAATAGAAACCTGATACTATGGTTGACAGGGGTCAGTCCCGCCGCAACCAGGCTGAGCACCATGCTGATGCTGACGACGACAGCTAAGCTTAAACCCGAGCGGACCGAGCCTCAACCTACACGTAGACATCAAACCATATCAGGGGCCACCGAACCAGGCACAGCACGCTTGGGGCGGGCACTTTTATACGCGGACTCGTTCCTGCAGCGGCTAAGAGTCTCAGATACTGTCTGGTTACGCAGCATATCGTGTTGAGAGCATTACCGTCATTTCCCAATTCCCGGCCGGCCGGGTTGGCAGGTCAGGGGTAGAAGAGGCGCAGTTGAGCGAATCCGACGCTCATACATATCCACCAGACGCAGGCGCTTATCTCAGGCGCACAACATGAACATGGATCCGTGAGGCGCCTGGGCAGGGTATCGTGTCTACCTTTCTTGTATGGTCAAGAATCGAGGGCCGGGAATGGAGTTGAAATCCGCCCGGAGAATGGAGCGGGATGGTCCAGCAGTCCGCGCGGCGCGCGCTCAGCGAAGTCGAAGTGGCTAAGCCCCTTCTTGTAACACTCTCATATAATATAGAAGTAGGAGTCTCTTCCCGCGCGGCGAACACATGATGGGAGTATCACACAAGTCGCTACAGCCTGCACCTTTCCGCGCTGCCAGCCAGCCTCTAGGTGAAGAGAACCCGGCCCGAGTCTGAGTCGAGAGATCGATATCGATACCATGGCATCCGATACTACTGCATCCCAACCCATCGAACAGCAGCAGTTCCGGTACTATCATTACGACCCAAGTCTCGCCGCCAATGCCGTTTTCGTCGGCCTCTTCGGGGTCGTAGCTGTAGCGCACGCATATCTTCTTATCCGCAGACGAGCGTGGTTCTTCATTCCCTTTTTGATAGGATGCATCTGTAAGTCAACACCGACTCATTCTTGTCGCAAGGCCAAACGCTAATACTCGGTTGGGGCGGGACAGTCGAGGTGGGCGGATACATCGGCAGAATCGTCGCGGCAAACGAGAACCCCAACTTCACGTTGGGCGTCTACATATGGCAGACTCTCCTCATCCTCCTTGGGCCCGCCCTCATGGCCGCGTCCATCTACATGGTCCTCGGCCGGCTGATCCGGCTGCTCGACGGACATAAATATGCACTGATCCGGTCGACGTGGATGACCAAGCTCTTTGTGTCGGGCGATGTCCTGTCGTTTCTTGCGCAGGGTGCCGGTAAGTCGCCTCAACAATGCAGTGAACCCTGCCTCCCCATTTCTGGCGTCATCTAACCACCCCCCTTCATTGTACAGGCGGCGGCATCCTCTCCGGCGACGACACATCCCAAGCCACCCAAGACCTCGGGCAGGGGATCATCCTCGGCGGGCTGGGGATCCAACTCTTCTTCTTCGGCCTGTTCATCTTCACGACCATCCTCTTCCACTTCCGCATCGCCAAAAACCCAACCACCCGCTCCTTCTCAGTAACAACCCCCTGGCGGCAGCAGCTGGTGGCTCTGTACGTGACCAGCGTGCTGGTGATGGTCCGCTCCATCTTCCGCATGGCCGAGTTCGCGCTCGGGGCAAACAGCATCCTGATGCAGCACGAGGCCTACCTGCTTGGGCTTGACGGCGCGCTGATGTTCCTTGTGGCGGGTATTTTTGTGTGGTGGCATCCGTACAAGGCGCTGGAGGGGTACAAGGAGATGCCGAAGAGGCCGCCCGGGAAGGGGAAGAGGAAGGATTCGGAAGCGGGGATGAGTCGGAATCAGAGTGGGGATATTGAGATGCTGGCGACAGATTCGGAGTCGACAAGGACGACCATCCCGAAGCCTGGTGGTGCGTCCGTGTACGACAGCGACGGGAATCATGGGATTGGGATTGCCATGCCCCTGATGAGTAACCCTGGCCCCGGGTACCATCAGATCCCTGATGAGCACTCTGGCAGGCAGAGTCCCTTTGGGAGGTAGCGGTTGCAGAATTAGTCGAGTTTAGATGGCTTTCTTGCGTCATGGCTTCGGGTACATAGAGGGCCTTGGATTTTGGATGCTGGCTGGAATAGCATGGGCAGTTCGCGGGTTTTAGACCTCAGCACTGTCCCTCTGGTGGGAAAAGGCTGCTGGCATGGCGTTATAGCGTTTCCGGAAAGGATAGATGGGCATTGGCTGGGATGGTTAATACCTAGATCGTTTGTGATCAAAAGGATATGGCAGCACGCGTGATGTCAAGATATGTCGGGCTCACCTCAATGATAAAACTTTCTTGGTGTTGCGGTGCAGTGGACCTCATGACATGGTGGATACTGGATGCACGGTTTCCAGAGTCTCCACTAACGCTACCTACCTAAGTTAACGTTAACAGAACGTTTGGTGCCTGTGATAGCATTTAGCGGCCAGACTTGCAACGGCAGTTAGGCAGGGCTTAACAGGAAGCCCATTGTATGCTCACTCCGCGGCTAAGATGCAGTCAGCCCAGATTGATTGCCTTATTTTTCTGAGCTTACTCGATCCCTCCGATTAACCCTTCAAGGCACAACTGTGGAACGCCTTGACTGAAACGTCGTGTCCAGCTTAACGTTGCGTTAAGTCGAACGTTAAGGGTTAGGGGACCTTGATTACCGTTGGACCCCTCCTTGGTTGCCCCGCTCAACGTGTGCGCTAGGCAATCGCTTTATCAATTCCCACTCCACAACCAAATTTTTTCCTTTTCGCTGCTGCCCAGGACCCTTTCTTCGGCAACCTCTGTCCTCAGCTACCCGACGGTCTCCTCTACCATTCTCCTTTTCCGCTTCGCTCTCCCTTTTCTTTTTGATACCCCTTTCTTTCAGAGAGACCAGGCCGCGAGCATGGATAAACAGAGGTTGGCCGCGCTCCTGCAGGAGACCCAAGTCCGTAAGTGCCTGAACAGTCGCGATCGCGTCTTGTTACCCAAGGACCCCGCTGACCGCTTTGCTCCTCTTCCAGCCGATACCCAGAAAATAAAGGCAGTGACCGCCGACCTGCAAAAGAACTACTACACTCACCCCGAGTCCCTCCTTCTCCTCATTGAGATTGTCGCAACTCATGGGGACGTCAATGTGAGGCAGCAGGCTGCCGTGCAGGCCGCCCGACTGGCCATCAAGCACTGGGAAAAGATTCCCAAGGAGCAAAAGCCCGCCGTGCGCCAGCACCTCGTGGAGGCCACCATGAACGAGCAGACCCCCCGCGCTCGCCATGCCAATGCGCGTCTTGTCGCCGCCATCGCGTCCCTCGACCTCGAGGACGGCGAGTGGCCCGACCTCCTTCCTGCCCTCTTCCAGCTGATCAGCAGCAACGACGTGAGCCAGCGTGAGGTTGGCTCCTACATCATCTTCAGCTTGCTGGAGGAGAACCCGACAACGTTTGCCGATGACATGGCCAAGCTCCTGGCGCTTTTCGGCCACACGCTCCGGGACCCACAGAGCGCCGACGTCCGCATAAACTCCATGATGTCGATCGGTGCCATGCTGCTGCTGTTCGAGCCCCTCGAGGATGAGGAGTCCGTCGAGACTCTTCAGACCTTGATCCCGGCTATGGTCGACGTCCTCAAGGACGTTGTCCAGGCTGGCGACGAGGAGAAGACCAAGCAGGCGTTCGAGGTCTTCCAGCAGTTCCTGGCTTACGAGTCCGCCCTGCTCGGCAAATACCTCAGAGATCTCGTCCAATTCATGATTGACCTGGCGGCGAACAAGCAGGCGGATGAAGACGTCCGGACGCAGGCGCTAGCCTTCCTCGCCCAAACGGTCCGCTACCGCCGGATGAAGATCCAGGGAATGAAGGACATGGGTCAGGAGCTCACACAAAAGAGCTTGCTCATCCTCACAGAGATTGACGACGATGAGGATGAGGATGAAATGGGCGCCGCAAGGACAGCGCTGGCCCTGCTCGACCAGTTGGCAAACGACCTTCCGCCTCGTCAGGTTATCGTCCCTCTCCTCGATGCCCTTCCCAAGTTCGCTGCCTCGAGCGAGCCGGGTTACCGGAAGGCAGGCATCCTCGCGCTTGGCACTGTCGTGGAGGGTGCGCCGGACTTCATCTCGTCGCAAATCAAGTCCATCATGCCCGTCGTTATACAGCTGCTCAACGACCCCGACATCGGCGTCAGGCACACCGCTCTCATCGGCCTTGCCCGTTTAGCCGACGATATTGCTGAGGAGCTCTCTGCGTACAACGAGCCGGTCATGGCTGCTCTTGTCAAGAATCTGCAGGCGGCCATGCAGGCCACCCCGGACCAAAAGCTTGCCAAGAAAAACAACGACATCATTCGCTCTGTTTGCAATGCTCTCGATGCCATGTCTGAGGGTCTCGATTCCGAATTCCTGAAGCAGTACGCTGCTGAGCTGGTCGGCAACATCGGCGCCTTGGTGAACCATAACGACTCCAAAATCAAGATCGCCGCGTCGGGCGCGCTTGGAGCTATTGCCGAGTCCCTGGGCGAAGAGTTCAAGCCTTACTTCGAGCAGGTTGTGCATGCGCTCGGGGCCTACCTTACGATCAAGGAGTCAGAGGACGACCTCGCGCTGCGGAGCGGCGTCTGCGACTCGATGGGCCGCATCGCCGCTGCTGTTGGTGCTCAGACCTTCCAGCCCTACGTCGTGGACCTGATGCGGTCCAGCGAGGAGGCTTTGCATCTGGATAACTCCAGGCTCAGGGAAAGCAGCTTCATCTTGTGGAGCTCGCTCGCAAAGGTCTACGAGAAGGAGTTTGCCCCTTTCCTGCCCGGTGTCTTCAAGGGCCTCTTCCAAAGTCTGGAGCTTGAAGAAGAAGAGATCAAGCTGCACCTCAGCGAGGAGGAGAAGGGCATTGTCGGCACCGACGATGAAATCATTACAGCTGGCAAGAAGCTGAAGATCAAGAACGCTGATGAGGATGGCGACTGGATGGACGATGATGAAGACGATGATTTCGATGGCATTGGTGCCACGCCCGAGGCTTTGGAGAAGGAAGTTGCCATTGAAATCCTGGGCGACGTCATCACATACGCTTGTGGCCCTCAAGAAATTACAGAGTACCTTGAGAGAGCCGTCGAGAAGGTCTCCGCGCTCGCTGACCATCCATACGAGGGCTGCCGCAAGGCCGCCGTTGCCACCCTCTGGCGGTCGTATGCGCGTGTCTGGCAGCTCATGGAGCAGGAGACGGGCACAAGCTGGGAGCCCGGCCTTCCCCTCAAGAACCCCCCGACGGGCACCCTGGTCAAGCTTGGCGAGATTGTGTCCAAAGCCACCCTCGCGCTGTGGCAGGAGGAGAACGATCGGTACGTTTGCAGTCTGCTCCTTTTCCCTCTCCCTATATGATGAGCACCTTGCGTTATTACCCAGCTCACTCAGACGCATTTTTGCGGGTGCTGAGAACGCGTATTTATCTACTCCTGATTGCCCTGTATCCTCCGTGGCAGTTTGAATCCTCGTTGTCGTGGCCGATGCTAATTGAAGACAGATCGGTCGTCACCGAGATCAATCGCAACGTTGCAGCCACCCTCAAGGCTTGCGGCCCGGCCATTCTTGCTCAAGAGGAGTTCATGAAGGAGGTAGTCACGGCCATCACCACAATAATTACTCGTTCCCACCCTTGCCAGCAAGACCTTGGAGACGATGACGAGGAGCAAGAAGTTGAAGGCTCGTCCGAGTACGACTGGCTCGTCATTGACACGGCTCTCGACGTTGTTATCGGCCTCGCCGTGGCCCTTGGTCCTGGCTTCGCCGAGCTCTGGAAGATCTTTGAGAAGCCCATCTTAAAGTTCGCGGCTGCCGAGTCAGAGAACATTGAGCGCTCCACCGGCGTCGGTGTTATTGCCGAATGCGCTGCCAACATGGAGGCGGCCGTAACGCCGTACACAGAAAAGCTGCTCAAGGTCCTCCTCAAGCGCTTGTCAGACCCGGATCTCGAGACCAAGAGCAACGCCGCGTATGCCACTGGCCAGCTCATCTACCACTCGACCGACAGCAACGTCTACCTGCCCCACTATACCAGCATCCTCCAGAAGCTCGAGCCCATGCTGCAGATCCAGGAGGCGCGCATCAAGGACAATGCTGCCGGCTGCCTGTCCCGCATGATCATGGCACACCCGGGTCAGGTGCCCATCCCGGATGTTCTTCCGGCGCTGATTGGCCTGCTCCCGCTCAAGGATGATTATGAGGAGAACTCGCCTGTGTACGAGTGTCTTCTCAAGCTTTGTAAGTTGTTTTGTGTCCATCAATCGAGTTATGACTGTTAGTCTGACCGTCCCGCCCGCAGATGAGCAAGGCGAACCGACTATCCAGCAGCTCACGCCCAAGCTTATCCCCGTCCTTGAGGCGGTGCTCAGTCCGCCGGAGGAGCAGCTGGACGAGGACGCAAGGGAGATTGTCCGCAAGATTGTCTTCCTCTTGTATAACGCCAAGCGGGATCTCTTTGCGAGCCATCCGAATGTTCTGAAGCTGGCGGGTGTGGCTTGAGATGGGCCCGGCTCGTGACTGGACTCAAGATGGTGGTGTGGGGTGACCGATGGGATGAGATGGGATGTGGGATGTATAGGAGGGCTTTGATGATGACTGAACATGCCATGCCATGATGAGCTATGAGTTCGGACCTAATGACATGTCCTTTACAATCCATGATGACGAGGAGGGTTCGGTTCGGTTGGTATAAAGGTCATGAGGGGGGAGGTAAAAAGTTGTTCAGCTATGTCAGGTATAGAAGCTCCATGTGTTCATGGCGGTGATGAGCGATAATGTCAATGCTCATGTCAGATTCCAATCTGCCGTTGAAGCGGATCAAAGTTTTCCGTGATTCTGTGGGTGGAATATGTTAACATGCCCCATGTTTAGATGAGCCTCGGGGGCAGCGGTGGACTGACACGAGCTCATCCATGGCCCGGTTCACGGGTAAGTAGCCCTCATACGAGGATCAACGCGAAGCATCTGCCACCACGGCCGACGACAAAACTGTGAGCTGTCGTTTACCAGACTGACGGCAGCGCTTCGCTTAAGAGTCTGAAATATGCCTGAGGAATTGAGTCCATTGACATGATGTTGACATGGGGACGTGAGGAAATAGGCTGGCTGCAATTTACACTCCTACCTTATCCTCCATTTCCTTGAGAGTTTGGCCCAGCCCCCTGATCGAGCTCCCGTCCGCTTACCTGCCTTTGTCATACAAGGTGGGCAGCAGCAGAGAGTCTCGTCGTAGCAAATACAGCAAACATGGCAGTTGTCGTTGTTGAACTAACAGAAGGCAAAAGGGGATAGTCAGAGTCGCTCTGATCGTGGGTTGCGAGGGCCCGGGGAAGGGCGTACGTAAAAAGTGCCAAAATAACAACCAACAGACTGTTCTGCCAGACATCTCTTGATGATATGGACGAGCTGGGAATCGAACCCAGGACCTTTCGCATACAGGAGAGTATGCTAAGCGAACGCTCTACCAACTGAGCCACACGCCCTTGACTGAAAGAATTGTCGGGAGTTGTTTTGTTGAATCGGTGGTTTGGAGACTGGAGACTGGAGTTCAGGGGTACAGCCCTAATGTGGATCGGGGTTCGAGGGTGGGGACGGACTATGAGGGTGAAGGGTTAGGGTGGAGCTATGTAGGGTCGGCCCCTTTCCTTAGGTAGGTAGACATTGCCTCTGGCAATTCGGAGGTTTCAGGTAACAGGATTAAGGTATGACATACGCGGTTGGCACGGGTAGCGTTAGATGGAGATTGGGGGATGAAGAGGGATAAGAAGTACTTGAGACTAGAGTAATTATTCGCCTCATGTTGTGTGACTCGGTGGCTGATGGTTGTCGTTTTCCGGTTTTGAACAGTGAAGGCCACTTTTCAAGGTGGAACAACAAAAAGTGCCTGCTGGCCGGAGACAGCCTGGTTCCCCAAGTTGGAGCAGAAAAGACCTAAAACTTGCATGGCGAGATCAATTAGCTTAAAATGGCAAAGGGAAAGAAGGGGAAGGCCAGTACCTCTGGAGCTTAAACCATGAGCATACTATTGAGCTCCATGGAGAGAACTCAGAAGGTTGGAAAGGCTGGGAAAACAGATCGACCTAAGCTGATGAACTCAGGTTCAGACACAGGTCTGCCAAAACACGGAGAGACTCAGGCAATCAACATGGAAGCGGTGCCATATACCACGTGTATATGTACAGTACACTCAATAGGTACCTGGGCGCCCCCGAGTGCTGCCAAGCATTTGATGACGCGGCAACATCTGTGCCCACGGAGGTCAGTGGCACTTCGCCAGGGATATTGTAATTCTTGACACCACATCCTACTTTGGCATGACAGCCTCCGTAGAAGGGTGGAGGCGAGCAGGAAGCGACGAGGAGAGAGAGAAGGGATAACGTCGGTTGGGACGCCGGTCGGCATAGGTCGGTTCGCACTTGACTCCCACTTCCCACTTGCAGTCATGCTTTGCCCCTGGGCAGTGAATCCGCCCACTTCCCGTCGACTTCGAGTACCTAAGCGATACTCGTGGTGATTACCGGAGTCAGTGCAATTCTGTTGAGCGGTAATAGGCCGGCGAAACTTATCGGTTGCACCATAAATCTCATGGTATTGTACATATGGGGATGAGTTTTTCACCGTGACGCCTTGGGTTGTTTGTTGGAGAACGAAAACTCACTTCGGTTTAGTCTGGAGGAGTACCTGGGTACCAATAACTGGTATGCAGTCTACGGCCACATGGTCGAATGGACGATCCTGCAGTGATCGACTTGTGTTTACAAGTGCCGGCGGAGCATACTTGTAGTAACCAGCAAGAGCGATATGAAGCTAAGTACAATCTCTTCAAGCTTGCTGTATGTCTTGACCTTGTGTGTAAGCACCACGAAAAAGTGATCATCCATAGGGCATACCGTATGTTAGTCTGAAGATTCTGTGCCAATGTCAACCGGTAGAGGGTCTCACCGATGAGATGACGAATGCTTCTCAAGGGGTCCCGTGACTCCCGTCCGGCGGGGTCCATTGCGACCCTGCACTTACACTAGGATGGCAGACTATTTTCGATAGAAATGCTCCGTGGAGAAGCATTCTCTGTTCGGTAGGTAGTCAGGGCTTTGGAAGCCTTGGCGGCTTGGCGGTTTGATGCTCAAACCTGGTTCAAATGCGGTTTCCGTCTCGCGCTGCTGCGATGTATGCACATGCGCGCACTCATAATCAAGCGCATCAACCTTCCCAACAAATACACGCCAGAGATCTCCAACAATCTATCGTACGATGGAAAGGTCCGTTGTTGTGCGGTTTAGCTGTGTCAGCTATGTATGTACATATGTACCTGACCTCATGGTTAGCAACCGTCACACATTTTTGGGGCGCGCGGCTAAGTAGGTAGTCCGATTTCTCGAATACACGTAGTCAGTCATTAAACGTTACGGTGTATTAGGTAAGTTTTGGGAAAACTTCCGGGACAACGCCACGTCTGATCTTGCGCTGATGTTTGCAGGTAAGGTACCGGTATGTGAAGTTGATGTGATGAGGTGAATCTGGCGGTTGCCCTACGGCTCCTTCCCGACGATGCTTGGCGGAAGACCCACAGCGTCTCCGTTCTCCACTGAGTTTTTGGGACGATGAAGTGATTGGATGAATCCGCTCAGGGTGACACCCAGCCCCACATTCCCCAGACAAGCCTCCCAGCTTTTCTTTCCTGTCGAGCGCCATCCTCCGACAATGTCTGAACAAGGTCGGAGTGACTGACCACGAACAGGAACAATGTCCGCTTTCCTGTCCCAGCGTCCCTAGGATCATGAAACTCCAGAGCCTAGCTCTACCTTAGTACCTTTCCTCTTCGTCGCATATTGCAACAGGCATCTCCCAGCAGACAAGCAGAAGCTTGTTTCAAAAAGTCTAGGAGCAAGCAACGAGCTTGTTGCAATTAACGTCGACGCTAGGGATGGCCCAAACCACTGAACAGGGAACCTAATTTTAACCGCCCTTCGAGTGCTTGGGTTCGAGACGCGCCCATGGGTCCGCTGCCATGGCTTGGTAGGTACCGTGAATTGTTCTGCTTGTTGTGATGATGACTCAAGCTGTCTTGGCGGTTGATATAACCTCAATCCTGCCTCCCCGTTCTGTTCTCTGGCCCTTTGGCAGCTCCTCTTCTGCCCAATGCGGCTTGATGCTTCCACCAAGCCACATCACGCGCTGACTTGTCTTCACTTCGACATTGCCCTGGTGGCCCCTTTTTGATACCCTTTTTCTGTTTCCTAATGCTAGTGGCTGTTCCTTCGCTGTGCCGGGTGCCCTTCCTTTCATAATGTCGATGAAATCTTGCCCAGTGTCGGGCATGGCCGGTGGCCAGTGTCCTGCTGGTTCAGTCTCTGGCAACAGCAGGTCCAGCAGTCGCATGGGTCCAAGGGGCTGCACCTTTTCGGGTTATTGCCAGCCTGGCGATATCCATGCTGCTTTCGACGTAAGGCCCGCCGGCAGCAAACACCCAACCACAGCTAACATGAGGCAGATCCCTAGAGGAGTTGATGCCGAAGAATGGCTCCGGATGAGGTATGCGTGGGTCGTCCCGGCCTCGCTTCTCAAGCTAACCGTTACAGGGAGCGAAAGGCCATCAATGAGATACTCTACGCCAACATCCCAACGCCAAAGGAGATTGGCAACATGAAGAACATAGACTCGCTCAATGCCGCCGAGCATGATCTGCTAGCCGTTGCTCTTGGGGCTCCTGCGCGGCAGGTAATGATCAGGGCAGAGGAGATAGGCCCGAGGACGGGGTGGAAGGATGGACACCTCAGTGCCGAACATGGCTTTTGCCCTCCCGACTACGAGGAGGCGCCCGGCGCGCTCGCTAACTCCCCCGGAAGGATATGGTCGGACTTGTGCGAGCGGATGCCGGGCTGCGTGGCTAGGGGCCGTGTGCGGGAGTCCGTCGCCGCACTCCCTCTGGTCGAAGGAACAGAGGACGTCATTCCCGATAAAGCATTGTGGGCTGCTGTGGTGGCATTGGGCATGCTCTGCTCCATCTACCGATACGAGGATAAGAACGACGGACATGAGGGCGTGACGGTGACTTCTACCAGGTACCGACCCAACTGTGAAATGGGTGACGACCTTGGGGAGGAGCTTGTGGGAATTCCTCGATGCATCGCACTCCCATACTGGCAGATCTCGAGACGGCTCGGCCGCTCCATTCCTTTCCTCAGCTTCCCGGACCAATCCAGCCTGAACATGAAGATCAAGAATCCTGCGTCGACATATCCGTACGTTGGCCGCTTTGACAATATGGAGATGCGCTGGCCTGTTTTCGGCGAGAGAACCGAGATAGCCTTCCAGAAGGGCTGCGCCGAGACGTCAGGTAAGAGCTGAATGAGTACTGTGATTCTCGGTGTTTCCGCTAAACACGGAACAGCATCCTTCCAACACGGCCCAGATGCCATTGCCGCCTGCCAGGAACACGTCATGAATCGGAATGTGGAGGGCCTTCTCCGAGAGATGATTCGCCTAAAGGAGATTCTCGAGCGCATGCCCAATGCCTTCCACTCGATCAACACTAATCCCAACTCTGGCGAAAACTACGTCCCGGGCCACCAGTGGATTCGATGGGGCAAGTTCTCAGCACCGCTCAGCAGACGATGTCCTGCATCCTCTGGTCTGCAGTTTCCGCCATTCCTCGTCATGGATGCCTTTCTTGGCCGCAAGAAGTACGACTCCTTCCTTGGCAAGGAGGGCCTCCACCTCCGCGCGTGGCTGCCGACGAACATGAGGGCCTTCATCGCAGCCATCGAGTACCACTATCGCATCCCGGAATTTGTCCAGCAGTCCGGAGACCCGCGGCTGATGGGAGTGCTCGATGGGATTATCGAGGCGTACACGGGGGAGCGCGGCTTCATGGGTACGCATCGGTACAAGGTCTTTGGCATTCTTGAGATCGCGAGTAAGACGGGACGGACCGAGACTAATGGCCTTTCTGGAGCCCCGGACATGAATGGCAAACCCTGGGAGGAAACACATAGGCAGTTCTCCGAGGCGATGAAAGAGCGCCTGGAACCCTACCGCGGCAACATCATGGTCGAGCCACACCAGATGCGCGGCACCTTTGAGGAGTGCCGCTACAGGTCGCGCGTGCTCAGCCGTTCGTTCGTCGACTCAGACCCGAACCGCTCCATTGCCATGGTTACACTCGATCTCGAGAACACGGGTATTACCTTCCAGCCAGGCGACCGCCTCGCTGTCATGCCACTGAATAGCTGGGAAGAGTGCGCAAAGGTCGCTGCGGCCTTGGGCCTCGCCGACTACCTCGACTACAGGGTCACGCTGAATGCACAATGGCAGCGATTTGCCCAGCACCTGGGGTCAGTGCGTCGTACTTCCACGCCACAGCTAACGGTGAAGGACATCCTAAGACGAGGACACCTTGCCCCCATCACAAAGGAACTCGCCCTGAAAGTCCATGAGTTAGTGCGCGCATCATCCAACACGGTCCTCCAAGTTCTTGCAACGACCGAGTGGCCAGTTAGAGGTTCGCTCGGCGACCTCCTGCAGGCTGCTGTAGCGGACACGAACCCGCATATCTGGGATCGAGCATTTGATCTCTCAGGAGATCTGTCGTGGCTAGCCGACTTGATCACCGTTGAGGTGCCGAGGACCTACTCGATTTCCAACTACTCCCAAGAGCTGCTACCCTCAGCGGTCGAATTGACGGTCTCGCGCGCCGAATACAAACTTTGCCCGACATTTGCCGGGAACGGCGAAGTCACCTGCGCCGGCGTGGGGAGCGGGTTTCTTAACCCATTCCTATCCTCAAACGACGAGCTGATCGAAACTGACGAGGACATTCTCGTCGGCGTCTCTCGCCCTCTCAATTTCCAGCTTCCGGTCGACCGGGCGGCGCCCTGCGCTTACTTTGCTGGCGGCAGCGGCATTGCACCGTTCAGGAGCTTCTGGCAGGCTCGCCTTGCGTCCCAAACCAATGCCGCAGGAAGAGATCTCCTCTATCTTGGGGTACAATCCCGAGAAAAGTTTTGCTACGAAGAAGAGCTTCGCGAGTACATTGATGCAGGTTTGATGGAGGTCCACCTTGCCTTTTCTCGCGATAGCCGCGGCCTTGTGTACGACCGCAGATCCCGCGATCTGATTGAGAAGGAGATGCCACCTCGATACATCGACGCTCTGATCGTGGAGCAGGCAGCTACCATATCGGAGCTTGTCATGTCCAAGAAGCAAGGCGGGCTTGGAGGTTATCTGTATGTCTGCGGCTCCGTTGCCGTCTTCGACTCGGTCATGAACGGTATCCGCAAGGCCATCTACAACCACTGCAGCGCTACCATGGAGACTGCTGATATGATCATCAACAAGGCTTTTGCCGAAAGGCGGTTTATGCTGGATGTCTTCATGACCCCTAAACCGCTACCGTGCAATCTGCCTACAATCTCGCTTTCCCAGCTTGCCCGTCACACCGGCCACCGGCCCGGCGGGCGCATGTGGATTGGTGTTCACGGAGCAGCATACGATGTCACTGACTTTACTCCCCTTCACCCCGGAGGGAGTCTCATCATCAAGTCCAACGCAGGCGTTGACTGCTCCAGGACATTCGATAACCTTGCTCACACGAACAACCCGGAGGTCAGCAGCCTCCTGACCAAATACTTTGTCGGACATATGACGCCCAAGCCCGATTTCCACAGCTCGCCGGAGCTGTCAAGCCTGTATGATCTTTGGGCCGCCTACCTGCGTACGACAGTGGAGACCCTGGTTGCGCACCAATTCGAGATGTACGAGATCATGGGGGCTAGCGACGACGGAACGAGCGATATGCATCTCCGGGGGTCTGAGAATGTGTGGTCGCGTGAACACCTCGTCAACATTGGCCTTGGCGTGCGCATGTTTTATGACTACCAGTCGCGGCTGCTGCAGGGTGGCTTCTCAGCATTATTTGGACCCAAACTTCAAGAGCTGGTCTTGAAGCTCTCATTTGCCCTCGCCGACTCGGCGGGCTCCGGAACCGAGATGCGATTGCCGGATGTGCTGGGCATTATTGCTCGCGCAAAGACATCGCCCGACGCCGTGGCGACCTCTCAGGAAGTGGCGCTTGTCGGGCAGTTTGTGTGCGAGAACAGCAACAACGTCCGCTTTGCGGAACGCGGCATCTTCAACTATGCCGCCAAGAGCGTCGAGCTTGATATTGAGCTTCTCGAGGACATACGTGAGGAGGCATGCCATGGCATGGACGCGTTCGACAGCATCGCGGCCATGGACGCGGTCAGTGACGGCCAGCGGTTGACGGTGCTGGCCAGCTTCTTGATGCAAACACTTGAGAGGATGGCAAAGAAGCTGGAAGTATTCTACGGCAAGCTCGCCCGGTGCAATGTCTACCAACCGGAGCTGGAGCGCAATCCCGCACGAGCGCGCTGGAATCTCGTGCGGCGGAAGATCCACGACGGCTCGTTCTTCGTCCTCACGCAAGAAAAAGTCCTCGGTGCCGCGCCGGCCTACATCCCCGAGAAGCACCGCCAGACAGGCGTCGACTTTGACAATGTCATGAGCCGCATCCAGGCGAGCATACGCAGTGCTCCCAAGATCGGGCCAGTGCCACAGACGCTCAACGCCATGCATCTCGCCAGGGCCAGCACGCCGCCGGCAGAAACCACCAGCGCGGTGGCTGCCTACGAAAACCAGACGGCCATGCAGGCCATGTCGAGCTTCATTGACGCCAACATGCGCTCGATCCGCAGGCTCAGCAAGCTGCCTCCCATGAACTTTAGCTTTGAGCAGCTCCAAGCGGCAATGGAGCAGCAGCACTTTGAGAATGCAGCCCGACCCGCCGCCCACCCTCCCACCCCGCCGTCGACCGCCAGCTCCTCGGGCAGGACACCGCTGCATGCACCCGAGACCCTGTCGCGGATGACCTCGCTGGAGAGAATGATGATGGGGCCGCCATCTCAAACCACCCATGGCGGCAATTTAAACCCTGGACAACGTGGCAGACTCCACAGCCGAGCCTCGCAGTTCTCGGTTCACAGCGCCAGCGCCGCTGGCCCTACTGGTAGTCACGCCATGGGCATGGGAATGAATCCTTATGGCATGGGCATGGGCATCCGCTCGCCGCCCACGCCGCCGCCTCTTGACGCGGCGGCGGCCATGACGGCCATGATGGGCAAGCTCAATGTGCGCGGTCGCGGTCGCTCGGTGCCGCCTTCCCCAGTCATGTCGGTGGGTAGCCACAGTGTCGCCGGGGGTGGTGGCGGTATGGGTGGTGGTGGTGGTCATGGTGCGGCGAGGGTGGGGAGGAGTATGAGTGTGCGGTCTGGGTCCGGTTCAGTTTCGAATCGTGCGCCGGTGAATTCGCATGCGCCCAAGCTGTCGACTAATTCACTGAGGTCGTTTAAGTTGGGGAGTGCGGGTCTGAGTGGGAATGTTGGGTTGCCGTCTGGGTCTGGGGGACATGGACATGGAGAGAGGTTGCCTGTGGGTGTGAGGATTGCGCCGACGTTTTGAGTGTTGGGACTGGGATTGATGTGAGTCTGGTGAGTCGGTGATTGATATGTATTCTGGCTCTTTGGGTAACAGCTGCTCTACGTGTACATACATGTCTGCACCCTTCTAGTTAGCACAAACGATACAATTATCAGCATTAGAGATGTATAGTTCAGTAGGTAGTCAACTTGTAGTGGTGGAAAACTGGGCCGAATTGTCTGGATCTCGAGTGTGTGGGAACCGCATCGGCAGGCTCGGGAGCAAAATGGCAAATGCATCAAATCCACAATTTCACATCAAGTGCTGTCAACCTCATTAGCACTCACTCGCTCCCGGCCTGTCAAGAGATTTTGGACAGGGCTGCGCTACGGATAGACATGCGCTCGATGCGTTGAACTGGGGTATCACAAGGACTGTTGGTACTTTCGATAGCTCAGGCTTTTTGCGGATATTTGTGAAGGAACACATCCAATATTACGGCCTGTGAGGATCTTGTGCTCTTAAATGTCCAACACACCATTCCTCCTGCAGCATGACTGCCATTGGCCCGGGCTTGATGTCAATGGTTCGTCCAATGGATCCTTCAATGGTTCCCCTGGATCGCAATTTCCATCCCCGGATGCCAAGGCAAATTTGGGTTTAGCGTCACTGCAGCTGGGGGCGCTACCGGCCTTTTTCAGGTGCTAGGCTCTTCGGAATACCACCGAGGGGGCCACCATCCCCATGGAGTCGCAGCAGTGATGGAGGCCCGGGAGGGAAAGGCAGGGACGAGGGGGCGGATGAGGCGCAAGCCTTTTTGGATTTGAGCGCGGGGGGCGCCTTTAAACTTGCTGCCGATCCCTCTTTCCCAGCGACGCCCCGACGCCCCAGGGACGCCATCGACGACAGTGGCGAGAAGTTTGTCTCGCAGCCATTCATTTGAATAAAAATAATAAGTCGCAGCATCGCCCAAGATGCACCCTCACTCGTTTCAGTCGCTCTTTACCTTGTCGGCGCTGCTCTCGGGCGCCATTGCCGCCATTCCCGCGGGCAATGGCCATGGCAATGGCACGACCGAGGCAGACGTCGTGACGGTCGTGGTGCGAAAGACGGCGACCGTCTGCCCGTCGCCTCCCCCTCCCCCGCCGTGCTCGGCCGGCTCGGTGTCGTCTTCAAGCTCTTCCGTGGGATCGTTTGTTCCCAGCAGCGTTTTGAGCAGCATTGGAAGCTCGTCCAGCGGCGCGAGCTCCGCCGACACCACGGCTGTCTCCAGCGGGAACGTCTCATCCGGCACCAGCGTTGTGTCAAGCACTGTCGTATCGTCTGGCACCACTGCGATTCCCACCTCGGACATCTCGAGCACCGGTATCTCGTCCAAGACTAGCGATGTTTCCAGTGCGCCTAGCTCTTCTGCCGGCTCAACCAACACCACCGGTGTCTCCAGCACAGAAGTCTCCAGTACAGAAGTCTCCAGCACCTCTGCTTCGAGCACTGCCGCCTCGAGCACCAATGTCTCCAGCACCACCGATGTCTCGAGCCAGGTCTCCAGCACTGCCGTTTCCAGCACCGAGGTTTCCAGCACCGCCGTCTCCAGCACCGCCGTCTCCAGCACCGCCGTCTCCAGCACCGCCGTCTCCAGCACCGCCGTCTCCAGCACCGCCGTCTCCAGCACCGATGTTTCCAGCACTGCTCCCTCCAGTACCGATATCTCCAGCACTGCCGTTTCCAGCACTGAAGTCTCGAGCACTACCGCCTCTAGCACCGATGCCTCTAGCACCGATGCCTCCAGCACCGATGTCTCCAGCACTGCCGTTTCCAGCACCGATGTCTCCAGCACTGCTGTCTCTAGCACCAAATTGTCGAGCACCGCCGCTTCCAGCACTATCGCCTCCAGCACCGATGTCTCGAGCGCAATTTCTAGCACTGCCGCTTCTAGCACAACGATCACCTCTCAAACCAGCGCTGTATCTAGCACGACTAGCACTTCTGCCAGCTCGACCACCCCGTCGAGCACCACCATCGCCGCTCCGGCCTGCACCGATTTCTGGCTTGACAGGATCGCTCATCAGGGCGTTGCCCCTTTTGCTGGCTCTGGCTACGAGGTCTACCGCAATGTGAAGGACTACGGCGCCAAGGGCGACGGTGTCACCGACGACACCGAGGCCATCAACCGGGCCATCAGCGAGGGCGAGCGCTGCGGACCTGGTTGCACGGGCAGCACCAAGACACCCGGCCTGATCTACTTCCCCCCGGGCACCTACATGGTCTCGCGCCCCATCATCGACTTCTACTACACCCACTTGATCGGCAACCCGGGATGCATGCCTGTGCTCAAGGCCACGGCCGGATTCATTGGCGACTGGCTCCTCGATACCAACCCGTATGGGCCGGGCGGCAAGCTTGCCTGGGGAGCAACCAATGTGTTCTGGCGTCAGGTCGCCAATTTTGTCATCGATGTTAGCAGCGTCCCGGCGAGTAGGCTCGTTAGGGGCATCCACTGGCCCAGCTCCCAGGCGACCTCGCTGTCCAATATCGTCTTCAAGATGTCTGAGGCTCCCGGCAACAAGCACCAGGGTCTCTTCATCGAGGAGGGCTCTGGGGGCTACATTGGTGATTTGGTCTTCTATGGTGGCGCCCAAGCCCTGTCCATCGGCAACCAGCAGTTCACCATGCGCAACATCACCATCAACAACGCCCAGACGGCCATCCAGCAGCTCTGGTCCTGGGGTTGGACGTACAAGAGCGTCAGCATCAACAACTGCGGGGTGGGCTTCGATTTCACCGCTGCCAGTGACGCCGGCGCTCTCAACGTCGGTTCCATCACGATTCTGGACTCCGAGATCACGGACACGCCTGTTGGCATCGCCTTCGGCAGCGCCGGCGCGACCTCTCCCCCGGTAGCCAACAACTTTGTCTTTGAGAACATCCGCCTCGACAACGTGTCCACGGCAATCCGCGGGCCATCGGGTATCGTGCTGGAGGGTTCGACTGGTGCGTCCGTCATTGAGGCCTGGGGCCGTGGCCACAAGTACTCGCCTTCGTCCACCGGCCCAACCTTCTTTGAGGGCTCCATCACCCCCAACCCCCGTCCGGCCTCTCTGGCCCAGGGCACTGTCTTTTACGAGCGGTCCAAGCCTCAGTACGAGAACCTGCCTGTCTCGGAGTTTGTCAGCGCCCGTGACGCCGGCGCGGTCGGCGATGGTACCACGGACGACACGGACGCGCTCAACCAGCTCTTCACCTCGGCCGCAGCGGCCAACAAGGTTGTCTTCCTGGACGCCGGCATGTACCTGGTGACCAAGACCATCCAGATTCCCGCGGGCTCGCGCATCTTTGGCGAAGCCCTGCCCGTGATCCTCTCGTCCGGTGCCTTCTTCGCCGACGCCGCCAACCCCAAACCCGTCGTCCAAGTCGGCACATCGGGCGCGACCGGCCGCGTCGAGTGGTCCAACACCATCGTCAGCACGCGCGGCGCGCAGGCCGGTGCCATTCTGATCGAGTACAACCTCGCCTCGCCCGCCGGCTTGCCCTCAGGCATGTGGGAAGTGCACACGCGCATCGGCGGGTTTGCCGGTTCCGACCTGCAGCTCCCTCAGTGTGCAAAGACCCCCAACACAACCATCACGGCCGAAAACCTCGCGAGTGACTGCATCGCCGCCTTCTCGAGCATGCACATCACGTCGTCGGCCAAGTCCCTGTACATGGAGAACTGCTGGCTGTGGGTGGCGGACCACGACGTCGAGGAGGGCGCCGACAATCAGCAAATCACCGTCTACGCCGGACGGGGGCTGCTGGTGCAGGGCTCGGCTGGCCCCCTGTGGCTGGTCGGCACGGGCGTCGAGCATCACCAGCTGTACGAGTACCAGTTTGTCGACTCGCAGAACGTGTTTATGGGCCAGATCCAGACCGAGACGGCCTACTACCAGCCCAACCCGGACGCATCCATTCCGTTTGCGGCCGTGGCTGAGTTGAGCGACCCGGTGTTTGAGGCTGGTGAATCCGGCTGGGCGCTCAGGGTGGTGGATAGTACCGGGCTGTATGTGTATGGTGCGGGGCTGTACAGCTTCTTTGACAATTATGATGTCTCGTGCAGCCAGATTGGTCAGGGCGCGAGGTGTCAGAAGAGAGGGTTCAGTGTGGAGGGGAAGAGTGAGGTGAGGGTGTATAATCTGAATACGGTGGGGACTAATAAGATGGTCACGGTGGACGGGGTGGATGTGGTTAACTATGAGGATAATATTGATGGGTTTGTGCACAGTGTTGCGCTGTTTGGGACGGCGGAGGAATAGGAGGTTTCTTTGTTGGTGGATGGTGGTTTTTGGATAGGTCCAGTTGGTTAGGTAGGTGGACGGCGGCTACTTGGGTATCTATAATCCGATCTGATGATGAAGAGATGACTACGCTGTCTATGAGTAGTCTGTTTTCGGGTCTGGAAGGGCTATTTATTTCTCTTGTATACATACAGTTGTATTACGTAGGTATAATCTTTCATACCATTTACCTGTCATTGATCCAATTTCTCTTGTTTAATATACTAGAGGCCATATATACCTTAGTTAACCGCTGTATTCTTTAGCTATCGCTTGTTATTCAAGGTCGTTGAGCGGTTTGGCGTTGGTTCTCCCAACTAGGTTAGGAAGACCTGTCTGTTGCTTGACGGCAGAAACGAGGCAACCTGGAGGGGTCCACTCCAACTCCTCGCTCTCGGGCTGCAGCTTGGGCAGGAACCACACGATTCGGGTTATCTCATTATGCAAGCAACAACCAAAAGGTCACGCTAACCGCAGCTGCCTCTTCCCAAGGCGTAAACCCATCCCGCTGTCCAAGCCAATGAAGCCATTCTCGTTATGGACCCTCTTAGTATCACGGCGAGTCTCATCGCCATCTCGCAGCTGACAGTAGTGATTGTCGACTACCTCGGCAAGGTGAGAGACGCGCCAAAAGAGCGCTCCCGCATCGCCATAGAGGTCTCAAACATCTATCACCTTCTGACGACTTTGAGATATCGTTTCGAGGATGGAGAGTTTGACGAGCCCTGGTATCAAGCGATTACTGTGCTCGCTGCGCAGGATGGGCCACTCGATCAGTACCAACAAACACTGGAACGCATCAAAAAGAAGGCGCAGAAGATAGATGGAATGAAGGGCGTGGTCACGTCCCTCCGCTGGCCGTTTGGCAAGGAGGAGGTGGCGGAACTTTTGGATAGTGTCGAGCGGTTGAAGACATTGGTGTTGGTTGCGCTTGAGATGGATCATTTGTAGGCCCGCCCTCTTCCTTCCTCTCTCACTTTGCTTCC